TCATAATTAAAATGCACTTATGGATTTCTGGGACCAAAAAAGGAAAAGAAAACAGTTATTAAGTCATCCTGACTCACCAGCCCTAGCTATCAGGGAGTAATTATGGGAGTGGCCCAGAGGGCAACCAGGAGAGGTGATCCCACAAGCCCCCACCAACCTTTGGCCTTTGTTCTTGAAGGAGAGCAGATGCTCTGTATAAGAAAAGCACAATTTAGGGAGGTCAGGGAGTAAAATGGGAAGATCCTGGGCTTCTGAGTCAAAGTACCTACCTCAAATCCTGGATCTCCTGTTTTTGTATCCTTAAAGAAGTCATTTAACCTCTCTGAGCCTCCATTCCTTCTCTTGTAAATGGTAAACTATCAACTTCAGAGGATTGCCATGAGCAGAAAAGAAGGTAGTGTGCTAAAGTACAGGAAATATTGAACAACTTGTAATGAAACAAGGAATGGGCCCAGCCATGTGTTAAAAGGTAGAGGGGCAGAGGTCATACTACAGGCATAATATAGAAACTAGTCACATGTTCCCCTTTAATTATTTCAGTGGACACATATTGCAAGCTGGGGCAGGAGTGGGGATGCAGACAAGGAAACTATTGAGGAATTAGCCTTCCCTCACAGAGCCTATAGCTTGTTTGGGAGAGGAGGCTGACAGAATGGGAGGCCTGAGCAAACCAGATGCCCAGAGCACTGGTTGTTGGTGCCTTTATGAACAACAGACGCCAGAATAAAAGCCCCTCCTCTTCTAATTCCGAGAGTCTAGGTTTCTAGAAAAGCCAACTTTTTGTGGAAGATTTGATTCTTGGACTGGAACTTGAGGGATGGTAGGATTAAGATATGACCATTGGGGGAAAAGTGGGAAAGTCCAAAGCGATTGCATGGGGTCAGATTATTCCAGGTCTAGAAATTCATCAGCCAGTTGAGCCTGGCTCTGGATGGCATTGGGGAGCTGTTCGAGGTTTTTAGTAGGGGGTATCCTGATGAAGATAATATCTATGATAGCTAGCCTTGTACAGAACTAAAGGGGGAAGGAAGGAGTGGGAGAGGACAAGAAGGGAGTAAGGGCAGGATGGGTCACAATTGTCCTTGAATTGCCTTAACTGCATCCTCTGATCCGGTCATCAAGTCTTGTTGACCTCTCCTTTGAAATATCTTATCTTCATTGCTTCTACAAATTATCTCATTTATCCAATGAAAAAGCTTTCCAGCTGGAACGACTGGAAGCCTGGTGCCATGGACAGACACAAGGAAGTTGAAGAATTACTTTAATTGAAGATAGATAATAAATTTGTTTTATGACATGTTGAATTTGTGGTGGTAGCTGGATGTTCAAATAGAAGAGTAAAGTTGAACTGACTTTTTCATCATGACTGCAAGAGACTTTAATACTCAAACAACATGAAATTTGAGAGTTTAACCAAAATCAGATACAGGAAAAATTGAACATCCTCTGTCATTCTCTTCTTTTCTCTTTTGATGTGGAATTATTATGTGGGGAACTGAGTATATTTGCATAGGTTGTGTTTTCTTCAGCTGCCATTATGGGGAATAATAAATGGAATTGGGATGGAAATGTTGTATGTTTGTTAAACAAAAATAAAAGAGTAGGGAATGGAAAATGGTGAAAAATATGGATAAATATTTTAGCTTTTTGGAGGTGTGGCTTGAAAAACTCATATCTATTATGTAAGTGGAGTCTATGAAAGGATTTATGACCAACATAAATGATACTGGGGTGGTTCTAAGCAATATTTTAATCATTTGGAAGATGGTCTCCCCTCAGAGGGGAGAGCTTAGCCTCTGAGGGGAGACCACCTCCCATTCCATCCATAAAAATTGGAGGAAAACTTCACTAGGACCACTGGGCTCCTAACGTTCAATCTTGAAGGCTAATCTCGCCTAATTTCTTCATAAAAGAAGAGTCCTAAAGATACTTGCTGTTTCTGAATTATTGGAGTACCCCTCACCCCCTGACCTTTTAGTCTCTCTCCCCTTTTATCTCCCCCCTCTCCTGCCTTATTGACAGCAACTATAAAGAAGTCGTTATAAAATGGTTATGAAGCTTTCACTTGAAGCAGAGATGATTACGTGGCTCAGGCGGGAAGGCGGAAAGGGCTAAATAAAAGAAGGTGAGCCTGAGCCGTCACAGAAAGGTGAACATTAATAGCAACATCTTGATTTTGTTAAGAGGCCAGCTGAAGCCATCTGAAACAGGCAGGGAACAAGGTGATAATAAGAGAAAATGTGTTTCGCAGACAAAGGAGCAGACAGCAGGGGACAGCGGTTCAGGGAAAGAGGCGAACATTAGGGAAAGTGTGCAGAGGACGCGCTAATCCGTCTGAATCACGCGGGGAAGCTCGGGCCGTTTGAACTCCTTGGCAACTTCAGGCCGGCCTCAAAGTGGATCGCGAGGAATGGGAACAAAGGAAAAGTTCACTCTGAGTTCCTCCTGTCAGAGCGGGGAAATTGCTTTGAGGCCAGCACTAGAAGATGCTAATGGCAGAAAGCAGAGCCCAGTAAAAGAAGGGAAAAAAATGTCAGGTCATTGGGAGCTCGCCCAGCATAAAGGAAAGAAAACCACCACTGACAAGACATTCAGCCTGGGTCTCACCAAGCACTGCTGTGCGAGTACTTCTAACCAGCGCTCAGCAGGGGAAAATCTGCAGCTAATGCCTCAGCTGCTCGCAGAATTTTCGTTCGCTTGACAAACATAATTGAGCTCTCACTGTGTCAGTGAGGACTATTGCTACTAATGCTGGAAGGTGCAATGGGAGCTCTTATGCCTTTGTACCAACTGGTTTGGGGAGTCAGAAGGATCACTGGAAAGTGAGTACTGGGAAATCACTGCTGACCCTGGAATGGCAGAGCCTGAAGTGGTAACTGGAAAGAAATGTGTGTCTGTTTAGACTCCCTAAGAGGAGAGAAACAGCAACGGCTAGGGTTTCTTCTCCAGGCCTAACAGTTCCCACCCATAAAGTAGATGATGTGTCCCTCCCCTCTGGGCATGTTAGAGTGGTTCTGGAAGTTGTGTGCGGATGTGCCATGAAGTTGGGAAGGACATGAGAATCTTTGCATGTGGGAATCTGTAATAAGATTGCAGGAGCTAGAAACTCTAGGTCCTTTTTCTGTATATTTTATGAGTCATTGAGAATTTTAAAATGCCTTCCCTCCAGATTCTAACCCAAAGGCTGCAAACTAGGCACACCTAGGTTTTGTTTGGCTAGCAGAATATTTTTTAAAAATTGATCCAGCACTTACAAATGGTGAGAGTTCACCTGAAAAACCAGAGTTTGGGCTTCTCCGAGACCAGAAGGTCTGGCAGCCTTAGATCCACAGCAACAGTTAGCAAGGGGCTAGCAGCTGTCCGATTTGGATGGACACCTGAGCTCTCTTGTTTGGCCATCTCTATCACTCACACTAGGTGGCCATATAACTTGTTGTCCAAACCAGGGCACTTTTGAGAGTGAAAGGGGGTGCTGTTAGTAATTATGCCTGAACCACAGACGTAAACCAGGGTTGTTGTTGATGGTGAGGATGTATGGTGATTCGAATTCACGTAGCTTACACTAAGCTTGCTCTTCTTCTTTGCCCACTGTTATCTGTTTATAAATCAGGGACTCATGAGAAATAAGGGAGAAAATATGTGTAAAATGAGAAAGAGACCTAAAAATTAAAAATAAAAAAAAAATTAAAAAAGGAAAGAAATGAAAAAGAATTTTAAAATGAATGCCAATTACACCAAACCTTCAGGTAAAGGCAAAGCCTTGCTGGCGGCTGGCTCAGCATGTAAGTTTGACCTTCCTGGCTCCCTGCCCTACACAGCACTGTCAGTTTTAATAAGCTGTAATCCCGTAGCTACGAGCGACACTAATCAAACGGCAGAGAGCAGCCTGCTCCTAATCAGGAAGGCACAGGATAAGCATTTAATTCTGTGGTTTCTCAGTGAGCTCCAAGCTGCCTCAACAACAACAGCAAATCCCGAGTAAGATAGTTGCTCATACACTCTAATCTTGACCTTCGGATGGTCTTTGTTTGAAGTTTTTATTAAAATTTTTTAATTACAATAGTATTTGATTTCAAAATGTTTTAGAAGCATCTTTTCCCTTTATTTCCAAGAATAAAAAAATATCCCTCCCCCACGGCACGTAGGTAACCTCCGATTCCTAGTGATTGTCCAAGAGTCCACTTGAACCTATCACAGACCCAAACCCTTTCAACACCATTCAGGGTGGGAGTAGTCCCCAAACTGGGGGTGAGGGATTTGGGGACACAGAATGGCAACTCACACTGACCACTTAAAGAAGCAAAGGTGTGAACATGGTAGTGTGGGCTTCACACGGCAGTGCCAGCTCTTCCCCATTAGAGGAGTGGGCACAAGGACCAAGCTACTTACCCTATACCTCAAGGCCAGAGGGCCCCTCTATTCAGTCCTTGATTCTCTTAGTCCCTTCAACCCAGGAGCAAGTCACAATTCAGAAGCTATTTAGTGCAATGGTTAACTGTTGAGTTTTAGTCAGATGAAGCCAAAGTCTAACCTGGGAGCTAACTAATGGTAGGAAGACCCTTAGGCAAACTACATAAACTTCCAGAAATTTCTGGTAGGCCTTCGGGCAGGATACTCAACCTTCCTGAAACTCAGCAACATAATAACAACACCTCACAGCCTTGCTCTAAGGGCCAATGAGATATATATGGAAAGCATTTATTGAGGTGCCTGGCACATTAAAAAAGCTCCAAAGATTGTGGTTATTATTATTTTCATTATGTGCTAAGCATGGCCTTAAGGTCCCTCTTTAAAGAGACAGGTGCATCCTTGACCCTCCCTGAATTCTGCATTTAGTGTGAGTGCACTTAAAACAATGACTACAGATGGAATAAATGTAGAAAAGTCCTTTGTATTGGAGAAACATACCTGGTACCATGGAAATTTAATATTGTTTAATAGATTCACTAAGAATTTAGTGAATTCTTAGTGAATCTATTTACAGGAAACAAGACAGTATATATTTTTAATTAAAAATATTTATTGGCTATGGACTTTAACAGATTTACATTAAAGAAACATTTTCCCCCCAAATATGGTAATAAGAAAAAGACCCAGAAAAATGGACAATATTGGGCAGAATTTTCAGTGTTTTGAACATAAATAAAGCTCATACATTTATACGAATTCTGGGATATTTACTAATACTCTTCTAAAAATGGATCTGGATTGAACAGGAATATAAACATATGAACAAGTCACACCCAGCGTATTTCAAAACAATCAGATCCTTGAGAACACAGATTCTGTTTCTCATAAGTATCCTTGTCATTCATGGAGGAGAGCGGTCACAGGAATGTCTATGGATTCCAAAATTCGTGAATTCCAAAACAGAATTCATGGACATGCCTATACCACTAATAAAAGAAAACCATATAGGTGGGCATCCAACACATAAAAATATAGTAACCACATAATAATTTTTAGAAAATGTTCAGCAACACCCACTAAAATGAACAAACAGCAAAATATAGCACAATAATATAAAACAAATCTATTTCACTCCTACAAACAGAGCAAAGGCATTTCTTTGGTTCTGTTGTTTTTACAAAAACCATGTGTATACGTGTCTGTATATGTGTATTCTTATAGAAAACTTCATAAATGTAGAAAGCACACAAAAAGTTAAAATAAACTGTCACACCATCAACACCAATGTCACTCCTCTGGCAAGAGCAGAAAAAAACTCACAGAATCAGAGATGATCTGGGAAGGTCTTTCCAGCCTCAGAATGTGCTAATGCCTATTCGCAAACCACTTCAAAATCCAGACCAAACCTCTTTTTAGGCTCTCAAACGTCTCTCTACTCTTGCCTGGCTCCTGGAACCGCTGAATTTTCATCAGGCCGATGGTGAGCAATAAACAAGAACAAGTAAGGCTATGACTGTAATCTAAAGCTTTTTGTTCCCCAAATATTAGAGCTAGATGGAACCTTAGAAGTTCATTGAGTCCTATCCACTATGCCTGTTCCCATTTATTCAGGAGGGAACAGGCATGAAGAGAGTAGCAGAGAAACCCAATTCTCTACTCACTAGTCCAATGCTCTGTGCAAGTGAACACATGGTGGAGGAATCTCCCCAAGCAATGGGGCATCAGTTATTATGTGGTCAGACTATTCATGAACCTGAAGGGAAGACAATAATGGATCTGTACAACCAGATACAGGTAAACTTCCAATTAGCTCTGGGGAGACAAATCACAAATAGACCGTGTAGCCAAATGAAGGAGTGTGCACTGAGGCAACAGGTCATAGGAACAATGTGTGAGCCCCACGTTCCATGGAGAGGTGAGCCTGGTTAAATTGCAAGAGCCCTTTCTGATTGACTGTACTGCTGGGGCAGCTTGGAAGGCAAAAGTGTCTGAAAGAGGCCCCAGAGAATATAAGAATTAAAGAAAACCCTTGAATCAAGCAGATTCCCTCTCCAGTCAACAGGCATGTTTCCACAAGGTCATGCTACTCGTGACCAATCGTCTCCCTTTAAGCTCCAATCCAGCACAGTGAACCCTCAGAATCTCATTATCGCCACTTCACGGACGTCTCTTCACAGCTAAAGCTTTTGTCTTTGACTAAACGAATCTCTATTGACTAAAAGAGTTATTTAGCACAGAAATATTAAAGGTCATGGTTCAATTCTTTCTGATCAATCAGGTCACTTAAGTCTTTAGAAAAAAATCTCTTTAGCCTCATGTGGGAGAGTTTGGAACAGCTGCTCCTTATCCGAGCAGACCTGATTCTCCAACATAAATGATGAACGCTAGGATCATCTCTTGTTCTCTTCTTCCCACATGACAGCAGTGATACTGGCTCCATGTGCAGTCAGACTTCCGCGTGCCAGGTCTCAAGACGCTTGCCTGTGGATGAGCTCTTTCAGCTGTGCCAGTCTGTCACTTTTTAGTGCTTCCCGAATAGAGTGGAAAAATCCAAAGTAGTGTTCAAAGTTGTGTATCATAAGCAGGACTCCGGCCAACAGTTCATTGGTCACCAGCAGATGGTGGATGTACGCACGAGTATGATTCTTACAGCAGTAACAGGAACACCCTCTCACCAATGGGTCAAAGTCCTCCTGGTACCTGAGGAAGGAAGTCAGAAGGACATTCCAGAAAGTGAGGATCACAAGAACTCCACAGCCTAGGCTATCTCTTCTGCTGGTGCATAACCAATATCGTTAATAACATACTGGCAAATGTACTGCTGGGCACCTGCTTAAGATAGCAATGTGGTCCAAGTTAACACAGCACAATGAACCAGGGGACTCAGGAGTCCTCTGAGGCTGGATATAACCTCCTAGCCTGAGGCTCACAAAGAAGTAGCAAAGACAGTCCTGTGGTCATTCCCTCAGGCTGAGCACTGTCGGTCACACTGTACAGGGACATAATGTTAGGAAATGCTGTTCTGATGAATGCACATTTCTCCTGTTTGCACCAGAACTAGTATCAGAAGACATGGTTCAACCTTTTACTTGCACAGCTTTTTGCAGTTTACAAAGCACTTTTATATACACTGTCTCATTTAATCTCGTCAACCGCCGATGGAGACAGGCATTTTTTTGTCATTTTACTGATGAAGACGACGAAGGGGTTAAGCTCTGAAGCTACAATGCCTGGGTTTGATTCCTGGCTCAGAGCTCACTTGGGCAAGTCACTAAATCTCCCTCTGTCTTGGTTTTCTAATCTGTAATGGTAATAAGAGAAATAACAGTGCCTACCTTATAGAGTTGTTCCAAGGATTAAATGAGTTAATATACTAAAAGACTTGGACACTGTTGAGCACATACTAAGCACTATATATGTGTTACCTTTCATCAACTACTGAAAAGAAGTCAAATGACTTGGTCAACGTCACATAGGCATGAGCAGTGCTAGGATCCAAACTCCAAGACTCCATAATTTTGAGTCTAGTGCTGATAATAAGAAAACTACAACTTCCAGCTAAATGCATAACATATAGAGAATTTTAGTAGTAAGTTACAATTTATTTTACCCTAATGCTTAAAAAAATAGGAATGAGTCTCCTCGGTTATTTTTCAAGAAGTTAAATGTGGTAAACATTATTATTTCAGACCTACAATCAGGAAGCCCCTATAGAATAGGTAAGAACCAGGATTTTTATATTCTTTCATAAATTTTCAATTCAGTACTATTACTAAATAGACATCAATAAATCTCAGTCCCTAGAATGTCCCTTCACATAAGACCAAAAACACCCAAGTACTAAAGCGAGTATACCAAACTCACAGATAAACCACTCACTCGTTCACTAATTATTTCCACTCTTGACAAAACATGTACAAAGTTACAAGATATCCTAATTCATTCTCTATAAAGGTAAATATTTTATTTAAGACTTACAATCTATATATAACCAAGATGACTTAAGTTCCTTAAAATTAAAAAAACTTTGTTGTGTTTTATCTTGAACTCTTTATTTTGCTCTCTCATTTTTTAAAGTAATTGGAAGGAGTAAAAAACAGCAAACAATGGATTTGCTCTAACCTTTACGACAGCTCTTCTAAAACAATAGTTATCTAGCTCAGTTTTCTGATGAGACAAAGTACACAAATTCATCTGCAGAAAAAAAGGCTTTCTGGAACTGAATTTGAGAAGGACTAACTAATACCCAACTATAAATATTTTATAAAGTCATAAACTGAAAGGGAACAGTTATGTAAACTTTTAAAACAGACTGAAATTTAAAAGTCAGAAACCAAAATCTAAACTTAAAAAAATTCCTTACTTTTTTTCCTTCAGATTAATTTCAAATGATGTCATTTCTTGGTAGCCACTGGTTGTTTTCATTTTCTTTGTTTGATCCACATATTTTATTTCTTCCTGTGTCCCATTTTGTTGTAATACTGAAGGAGAAACCAATAAAAAGTCTTGAATGAAGATTAGATAAAGAGTGACATTGGGAGAATTTTACTTTAGTTACTATTTCATGCTCTTTGACCCTGTAAGTCCACTCCTGAGAGTTTAGCCTAAAGAAATGACACAAGAAAAATAGCAATATGTACCAGGATGATCACTGACCCACTATCTATAAATCTACAATATCAAAATTTGGAGATTCAACAATGTCAAACAAATTATGGTTACAAGTATATAATATACTCTTACTGTCAAGAAATTATTTTCATAAACTAGTTAGTGTGCATGTGTGAATAAATGTGTGTGTGTGTTGAAGTTATGTCTCATCATAATGCACATGCAAATTAACTGGGCTTTATAACTTCCTATGATCCAAAAAGATTCAAAGTAGAATATGGTTTAAATTTATGTGCTCTGTACGGAGACTCCAGTCCTCCAGGGAACTCAGATTATCCAGAATCAAGTGGGGAACTGAATTGTTCCCTTGAACAATTTGCTTTAAGAAAAAACATTCCTGGAATTAATTACATGAGAAGCACCAGTTCCCATGCAAAGAGCCAGCTGCCTTAAACAGGGCGAGTAGATAAGTATTTCTGGGAGAGAATAATAACAATCTCAGGGTTGGCCCAACGAGAATGGGCAGATGGTCCTAGGAAGGTAATTCTGTCCAAGTCAATGGAGAAAGAGCAGTGTGACCTGAGCACTGAGCACAGGGCTATACTTTGCTGCCATGAATTTGCGTGGTGATACAGGAGCCTGCAAAGCCCTGGCTTCTGGGAAATCCTTGTCACTGAGGGAATTGCTGCAACTTACTCCTTTGTAATTTTCACTTTGTAATTGGCAAGGGACTATAATTTACTATACACACATACACAAATGTGATTAATAATAATACTTTAATAAAAATGTTCAAACTATTTCAATTTTCCTTATCATAAAGAAAAAGCTTTCTCTGGCCAAAAAGGAACAATATCAGGTTCTTTTTCAAAGTTTTGCATATTCATGGTATGGGATGACTAATAGCTACCTGTGTCCTGGTGGAAATACTTAAGCTTGTAAATAAAGTCATGAACATTTATAAAGTATTTATAGTATACCTACCCACATGCATTACATTCTGGTCTGTCTAAAGGATGGTAAAACTGACTTCCTATATATAAGAATTTGACTAACCTGATTTAGTTTGTTTCCAGAGTAATTCCATTTAGATTAATGCTTAAGTTGCTTTATAAAAGTGTAACATCTTCTGAATGAAGTTTGGTAACTTATGGAGAATGAAATGAACCTTTAAATGACGTCTCTAGCTCTAGTCAAATTTAAGGGTGACAGCGGCAGAGGAGGAGTTCAAAGGACAGCAGGAAGGGAAAGAAGGCCAGAGGGAACACTGGGCATGCAACGTTCTCCTCAAAAACTGGGTAGATGCTTCAAGAGACCCTGGCCCAAAGTACGCGTCCCAATTCCTTTACAACTGCCAGTTAAATGTCAGAATTGAAAATTGGTTTCCCTGACTTCTGAATAACTAAACAATAAAAGAAAATGGCAGTGCTTCAAAGCAGTATTAGCAGAGGAAAACAGCTTCCACATCTCAGTGTGCACACAAAGACAAAAAAGCAAAAGTAACGCTAGGACCAGAGGGGGTGAGACTCCCTGTATTTTAATAGCACAGGATTTGCAAAAAGCAGACAAGAACTCTATTGTGAAAAAATGAATTAACTTTTACCAGGCAGTTCAAAGGTTTTATTTTCTTAGATTTTCATCACTATTCACTCTGAATGGTCTTTTTCAGGCTGTTAATAGAAGAGGTTTTGTTTTCTTTTTTTTGCTTCTGCTCATTCCAAAATTACTTTCTAATATTGATGAGCTATGTGTATGGTATTAAGTACCTGGGCCTTGTGGACCAACATGCCAGAGGATACAGATAAGAAACAAAGACGGAGTTTTATAAAAGGCTGACTTTATAGTATGCACATATTTCTGACTTGAATCATAAGCCAAAAATTGATAGGAAATAGAAGAAACTTAAGGATAACACTGAGATTAACTTCAAAAGACCTACATGTCTCCTCAGGATTTGGCTGGTAATCAAAGCTGAAAGTCAGGGCACATCCGCGCTCTGTCACTTGATAAGGGAAAAAACTCTCAAATAAGTCCACTCCTCTTTCGATACACTCTAGCACCTCATCTGGCCGGCTCACACCACAGATGAGCCTGTGAAAATAAGAACAGTGTGACATGAGGACAATGCCAGGAATCCAGGAGTCTTTCCAGCGGGCATTAAAATAATAATGAAAACCATCAGTCATGGTTAGCATGGCAGGCAGCAAATAATAAGATGTGGTGGAAAGAACCTTTGATTTGGAGGCAGAGAGATCTGGGCTAGAATCCCAGCTCTGCTATTAATTTACTTGCTGTGTTCTTTGGGAAAGTTTCTTAACTTCTCTGAGTTTTAGTTTTCTCATTTTAAAAATAAGAGTATTAATACATACCTCACAGGACTGTTGTGAGAATTAATAAGATATTTGAAAAAGCACATGGTGTAGTTTCTGGCCCCAATGAGAAACTCAATAAAGGCTAGTTTCCTTTCTCCTCTCATCTGTTCTGGACAACCTCCTAGTCTCAGACTGAACTTCATAGCCTACCCATCCGCCACATAGATTTTTTAAGAGTGCAAAGCTGTGTGCTTTATTTCCCCCTCAGATACGTGTATATTTTAACTGTATGTTGCCTATAATTCGTTTTTATAATTGGTTCCAGAAAGACATTTTTATCTACTGTATTGTTCATAGTTTCATTTACAAAGCAACTCCTGCTCTCAGAATTTCAACTCTGCCCATAGAATCTAGGAATCTATTTGGCTTTATTTATGCTGCTTCTTTATATTTTCTCCATTAATAAAACGTCTGCATGGTGGAATGAGGTGGTAATTTTAGAGGTACTGGGCAAGGCGTTCTGAGAATATTAATACTCAACCAGGTTTTGCCACTAAAATACCACGGGGAGATGCACTAGATCAGGGCTGGTTGGCTGCTGTCTTTTATGTTTGTTTTTCTACCCATAGTTCCTTTTATGAACTGGCAGAGAAAAGCTTACAGACTCTCTGATTTCTAAAAGAAGGCCAAAAAAAAAGGCTTATGTAATATTAAACAACCAGAATCCTTAAATATATGCTGGTTTTTCTGACTATAGTTTCCCTCAAGTAACGTAATGTTTCAGATCTCCTCTCCAACTGAAGCTGGCATTTCTACACATGTAGAAAGAAAAAACAATCCCAGCTTTCAAATCCAGTAACAGACATCTGTGAGCACTTAACTCAAGAAGTCCAGAAAATGACTAGAAATACCAGCGCTAAATTGTTGCCTATACCGGAATGAACTGGGAGGGGGAGCAGTGAGCACAGAGAACAGGGTTAAAATTGGGGCAAATGCTGCCTGGAGCAATGAAAAGATCTCATTCCAGCTGGTGTGTACACAGGCATGTACAGGTGTAAAACATCATCACGCTCTACCTAAGACTCATAAGCTTTACTCCAAGGTAAACCTGGATTTTTAAAGAGTAGTAAAATTCCATGTATTAGACACTAGCCAACAGCCCAAGGTGTATAAAACAGCACCCCATAATCAGACCTCTTACTCTATCTGCAGGAAAGAGCATAAATATTAACACCAAGTGGGAAAAAAGACTGGTCTTTAAAAAAAAAAAGGGAGTAGTCTCATAAGACATCAGCTGCATTCAGAAACTTGGGACTTTTAGCTTCGAATCTTGTAGATCATCTCCTCTCACCAGCACACAGTAAAACCTATGATTTATGGAAAGAACCAAACCCACTACTATTGCCAGCCCCCTCAATTTCAAACAATGATACCACTGCCTCAAGTCTAGGAACTTCTTAAAGGTCCTCATTAGTAGTGTCCATATTCATTCTGCTAGCCATCCCAGATCTGCCCTCAACTTTCCTCAGCGAAGGCCAAAGTGCCCATGGCTTTAAACTGTCCCCAGAAAACATGTTATAATGTATAAAGAAAAGGTTTTGTATTTGGCGCAAGAATGAGGGAAATGGTATGACACTGGCCCTCATTTAGATGAGCATCAAGTAAACGAATTCATACGGCAACTATCCTCAGGTCTACATTCAAGCACAGGACAGCCTTGATGGAAATTCCCCTACGGTGAGCCCCCGAAGACTCAGTCCAGAAAGGACATAATCAAAACATCAAAAGACATGCCCGTGTATAGACTACATAATACACGACCCCTAGCACTCCTGTTCCGGGCGCATGTGGCCTGGCCAGCACCCTCACTCGGCACTGGCCTTGGTTTGTCTTCCGGCAGCTCTGCGGTAACTGATGACAGCAAGTCCAGTCGAGTGTCCAGAGTTGCTGGGTTCCCTTGAAAGCCATCCAGGAGGAAGCCACCTACAGGCCGCTTGGCTGTCTCTCGTGCTGACCTCAGCCTCTCCTCCACCACATCTCCACCTTCAATCACTCCAATGATCGTACTTTTCTGAAGGACCTAAGGTAAGAAAAGACTGAATGTTTTTAATGGTTTCCAGGGGTGGAGACCTGTGTTTAAATGAACCTTACACAGAAGCCCAAAGGACAGACAAGATTTCGGTGAAGCTGTTGTAGGTGAGGCATGAAGGGAAATGGTGCTCACTCTACCCTGAGAACGTTTAGGGTTCCAAAGAGCACAATTTGAAGGCCACCCAAATAAGTAAGAAAAGACTGAGGAGAAACTGAGGCAATCAACAAATGCAGCCATGCTTTAGCTTAAATTAAATGCACGCTGAGCAGGTACAAGAGGAAAAAAACAAAGGAACGGTTTCAATTTATTTCAATGACTCTCCAGGCCTGCTTGAAGTCACCCCCAAGCTACTGCACACCATCCTTAAAAGTAAATCTAAATATAAAATATAGTTACACAAGTATTAGAAGAATATATTGAATATTTTTATAATCTTGACATAAGGAAGGCCTTCCTAAGCAACTAAAGCTTGCAGGAAAAGGCTGACATATTTGAGTACAAAAACATTAGAACTTCTCTAGTGAAATATAGTATCACCAAGGGCAAAGGAGAACTTACTTTTTGGAGGAATAGGTAAATATCTACACCATACAAAAGGTCCAAAAATCCTTTAAGGAAGTGACGACCCTCTAGAAATCTAGGCAGATATGTGAACGTGAGCTTCAGAAAAAGAGATGTAAATGCCCTGTACACATATGGAGAAGTTACTAAATAAAACTCATAGGAAGGAAGTGCAAATTGGAAACAATCAGATACCCATTTTTGGCCATCATACTGACAAAAAAGCTCAAAGATAACAACATAGTGGAAGTGAAAGTGATAAATGTACTTATAGACCTTGATAACTAGAGAGTAAAAATTAGTCCAGCCTCATGGGAGTACACGAAACTTATCACAACATCAGTGTTTTCATCTTTATATCCTAAAATTCCACTTCTACAAATTTCTCCTACAAATATATTCACAGGAAAAGAGTATCAAGATATTAAGCAAGAAACAAGGAAATTTATGAACGTATGATCATAATGTTATAAAAACCACATGTAGATATGCACACATGTGTAATAATTATGTGCATGTAACTATAAAAGTGAGGTTTGCAAGGAAATACACAAATCAACAGTGGCTCTCTGGTAGAACAGAGGGGTGAGGAGGGAGTCTGGCAGGCTGTGAAGAGGGATGTTCACTTCTTATTTTAAGCAGGAGGGGCACCATCAGACTATTCCTCCAGGAAGAACACTCTGGATACTGTGTGGAGAGTGAATTAAGGGGGAGTATGGCTAAAGGATGGGGTACAAGACAACTGTAATAATCCAGGTAAAAGACCAAGAGGACCTGGACTAAGGCAGTGCCCGTGGGGTGAAGAGGAGGGGTGGATTTGAGACCTCATCAGGAGGTATGATCAACACAACTGATTAGTTGTCCAAGGAGAGGGTGAAGATAGTCTGGGATGACTCCTGCCCCGTTTTGGAAGTCCAGGAAGTGCTGAGAAGAGCAGACAGGGAATCCTAAAAAAATAGCGAGGCTGAGGTAAGAGGAATATGCTGTTTTGTGTATTCTGAGTTTGAGGTATCAGAGGGACATGTACATTTAGCGACTGTACAGGCCTAAGGTTGTACACATGATACAAATGCAAGTGCCCAGGCTAGAATGGAAGACACTTGGCACAGGGCGGCCACTCCCCACTCCTGCTTCCATGGCAGACAAGGCTAGCAGACCACTCTTCCTGCCGCACTAGGAACAGCTCCAAGCACCTTGGGACGAAACCCACTTGCCATCCCCGGCCTAGGGAATATATGAAGAAAAGAAGTCCAAAGACAGAACCTTGGGGAGCTTCCAACATTTGAGGGCATTCAGAATAAGAGGATCCAGTGAATAAGAGAAGGGATCACTGGAAAAGGGAAAGATGTATGCAGACATACAAAGTGGGCAGTTACACAGGCTTGCCCTTTACATGACTGACACAGCCCTACCTGGGAAACTCCATTTCATGGGTTTAAGAAGTAGGATGAAACATAATCAGTGTCTGAAATGGAACACATTAAAGACTGCGAGGGGCATTATTAACAATCATATCAAGACAACAGCATATGCATAAGCATAAGGGGTACAGAGAGGAACCCCAGCATTTGATCCACACTGAAATAGTGTGAAATGGCGAGGCTGACTATGACACAGAAGAAAGGCCTGAGGCCCATCTGGCCTTCCTAATATCATGTTCTCATACTCTCTCCTCCTTTCTACTCATCAGACAATATTTGTTCTACAAGGATAATTACTGGCTCAAAACAATGGCTAGTGAGCAACACTAACAATTCAGACCCACACAGTGTCCCAGGCTGAACTTGTACTGCAGATACTGAGAGTTCTCTTCAGAATGACAACTAAGTTTCCTCTAATTATTTCATGTATAGTTAACTTCATTAGTCAAATTATATTTTTATTGATAAACTCAAAATAACAATGTTCCTCAAACTGAATGCACCTGCCATAGTGGGACCTGATCGCTGCTCAGGATGACTCCACATAAATTATCAGGCACTGACTCTCCCCTCTGATCACTGTCTTCTGATCGTCTCCTCCCTCTGCTCTCTCCTAGTGAATGCATCCTTTTCCAGCATCACTAACTCTGCTATCAGGAGCCCTTATTTACTGCTACAGCTTCTTCCTCATCCATCATAACCATTCACCATCAGCAAGCACTTACTGAGGGCTTACTTTGTGTCAAGAATTTTGCTACATGACGAAGATACAAAACTGACGCACAGAAATTGAGCTTATGGAGGTCAAAGTTTAATAAATCATTGCAATACAATATGATTGGGGCTATACTATAGCTACATACAAATTAAAGGAATGAAAAGAACTTCCTGGAAGGGTCAGGAGCAATTTCCTAAAATGAACAATGGGATTAAATGAGCCAGATCTGGAAGCAAGAGGAGAAATATGGCTGACAATAAAAAAACACACACGAAACAGTCCAGAAGGAAGTCTGCATACAGGCTCAGCGACATGAAACAGGATAAAGCCTCAGGGAACTGCAAGCAACGCAGAAGGGCCAGAGTGCCAATCACAGGAGAAAGTAGGCCACGCTGAGCTGGAGGAATAGGGACAGGCCAGGTTTCTGCAGGCCGGCCATGCCCTGTAAAAGTTGAGGTGCAGAACCACCAAATTCTTTTAGGAAAGTGAGCAAAGGGTTGATATTTGGGCTTTACAGAGATCTCTCGGATAGCAGGGCTGAAAATGGATTGGGTGGAAAGGAGAACAGAGGCAGAAAGAACAATTAAAAGGTAATTGTCTACATAAGAGAATCTGAGGTTATGATGCCTTAAGGTGGTAATAAGGGTGATAACACGGCAGATTCTAGGTATATTTAGGGAGATAGAATCAAAGAGGAGTGAATATTGGAGATTAAATCGGATAGTGAAAGGAGTCTTGAAAGACTCCAACTTCTGGGCTGAGGAACTTGGTGTTTGCCAAAAACTGAGATAGAGTATTGATGGAGAGCAAAAGGAAGAGGTTTGAAGAGAAAATATGGGAGTTTGGTTACCTGAGTTTAAGGTGCACATGAGGGATATTCTAGTGACAGAACCCAGCTAAAGCCCTGTAGTCATATGATTCTGAAGCTAAGCAGAGTGATCTTGATTGTACCTACAATTTTAGAAGTATTCGGCAATAAAAAACTAAGGGAAGCCTACCTAGTGAGAACATATACAGTGGGATGTAAAGAGAACCTTAGACAGAATCCGAGAGAGTAATAATACTTAATGGTTCAGGAAAAAAAATAGGAGAGCATAAAAGAGACCAAGAAGTGAGGAGTGGAGAAGTAGGAGGAAAAGAAAAAGCGGTATCATGGAATGTCAATTAGCAAGAGTTTCAAAGAAAGAGGAGTAGTGTGATGTACAGCTTTACCTCTGACTCTTCCAGTAGCCGCAGACAATGATCCAGGAATAGAAGCGATCGGTCAACAGACTTCCTGGCTCTTTTTATAGAAGTTGTTTCTGCACAAGATGCTTCTCCATCTGAGAGGCACTGGAACCAGTCTGGTTGAAGGGCCTGCTGAATTGCCATGAACTTGGAAGCAGTCATTTCCACTCGTCCTCCAACACCCCACACAGATACAGACTGCCAAGGAACAAGGTGATGGGGAATTAGCAAGAATAAAATGCAAATAAAAAGAAAATAATAAAATGCTAAAGCAATTCTGAATTTAATTCTTCTTTACTAGAGAGATGGTAGCAATTCAACATCCTAGACATGGTAAGAGGTTTACTATACTATACTATACTATACTGTACTGTACTGTACTGTACTGTACTGTACTGTACTATACTTCAAGTTCTCTAACAACCTTGTAGATCAGAGAATCCTTCAATGGCCACACAAGCCAACTTCTGAGCTTGCCCCAAGAATTCTGTCATACTTTTCCAGAAGCACAGTCTTCCAGTCTTCCCCACCTCTCTACCCATGCTGTTCCTGAATACACCACAGACTTGGATTCATCTGTCTTTGATTATGTTGCTCTTTTTGACTGAAATACCCTTCCCCTACTTCTTTGCCTGGTAAAATACTATGCACCCTTCAAGACAGAGTTCAAATATCACCTCCTCTAATATGCTCCCCAAACTAGCCCTGGCATAATCAATTGCTCACCCTTCTAGGCTCTTTCAGAAATTTGTGCTTATTTCTTCTATAGAAATGAGAGCCCCTGGAATACCATTGTATATTTCTAGAGTATCCCAATTCATGTTTGTGCCCCACAAGCACAGTCTAGGGCCTCACACATCATTAAACATTTACCAAGTTAAGTTACATACAGAATTATGGGCTAAGACATAAATCCCATAGTACTTGAGAACCTCTATGTTTCTTTGGTTACTTCTACAGCACCTCTCTTCTCTGAAGAGACTGACAAGGACATAGGTGGGGAGGAAACATACACTCTTTTATTTTGGCATAAACATTTAAATGAATCCTCTCTCCTTTATAAACAGAGTAGATAACTGATGTCAAAATATTTTCTTTTGAATACAAATTACAAAATAAAAAGAAGTTTAAAGCAGAAGAGTAATTTAAAATAGTAATCTTAGGTAAGAGTGATAAATATTGTTGACCTCAATAAAGTGGGTGCAGGAAAAGGAATTGCATTTGTAAAGTAGCAGTATATACACGGGTAGGCATAAGGAGGTTTGCAGCTGTACATATGGAAAAATATACAAGAATAAATAATAATATAAGAATAAACTGTGTTTTGCATACTCACAAGAATAAACCTCCTTTTGCCCACCCTATACTGAAGCCATGCCAGAATGCTGTCCTCAAGGACAATGCAATGGGGCCGTGTCTCAGGAGAAAACTTTTAATGAAGTCCTTTAGATACTGATCTTCTAGCTAAAAATCTCTGGCTGTGGACCCAGCTTTTCAAATTCTGTTCTAAAAACAAGCAGTATTACACTGAGGTTCTACTATATATAGTTATACATGTGATAACACTCATCAGCAACTTTCCCCACTCTTCCTGAGGTGGTTAAAACTGCAAATAAAGCATGGCATCAAAAGATTACTGTTTTCTACCATCAGCAATTTCTTTTTTGGGGATGTACTTAACCCTTCTCCAGCTCCAAATTTTTGCAACAATGAGAAGCTGAAGATACATTCCTTACCTTAACCTCATCCACAGACAGACCTCCTTTAACTCCCATAAACCACCCCATCCCACTATATTCACAGAAATAAAGAGAAGGCAAAAAGGGGTGAGGAATGGGCCAACATCCCAGGCAGTAGGACCCTAGCATTTGAGGGATACAACAGGCTGACTTCCTGGGACAAAGTTGCAGCACTGGAGGAACTTCTGAGAACACACCTTATTTGTTACATAACCAGCTGGGCAGGGGCTGACTGGGTCGTGCAGGGAGCAGTACAGGAGCAATTCTGGCATACCTGTATAGACATAAACAAGAACCCCTGAAAGCACTTACATCAACAATATCACTGCATTGTACCAGAGAGCAGCTGCATGTGTACTACTGGACAAAGCAACACTGAGCACAGTAAACTGCTCATACCTGATCTTATACGACAGAAGGCCTATCAACATGAATGAAAAGATTACTTTGAAACCTCTAATCTAAAGGAAGAATTAACTGTAAAGGTTCATTTCTAATAACATAGTGAGTTGTTACAAAAGGAAGGTATAGCCCGGCTGGGTGTGGCTCAGCGGTTGAGCGTCGACCTAGGATCCAGGCGATCGGGGCTCGATTCCCGGTCAGGGCACATGCCCGGGCTGCGGGCTCGATCAATGACTCTCTCATCATTGATGTTTCTGTCTCTCTCTCTCCCTCTCCCTTCCTCTCTCTGAAATCAATAAAGATATATTAAAAACAAAACAAAAAAACAAACAAACAGAAAAAAACAAAAGGAAGGTATATCTTAAAGTATGAGATACAATGAAAGTGTTTAATGACATGTTGACCTTTGAAGAAGAATTTAGTATCAAGTACGTTCATTCTAGGTACTATGCAAGAGGAACTAGCTCCTGGAAAGATGAAATGATCTAATCAAAAAGTAACCTCATTAGTAATAAAGCTGTCTCACATCATGAGTCCCTAGGGGCAGAATTAAAGGGAAGTTACAGGCCCTAGCTGGTTTGGCTCAGTGGTTAGAGCATCAGCCTTCGGACTAAAGGGTCCAGGATTTGATTCCAGCCAGGGGCATGTACCTCGGTTGCAGGGTCAATCCCGGGCACCAGTTGGGACATGTGTGGGAGGCAACCAATTGAAGTGTCTCTTTCACATCAATGTTTCTCTCTCTCTCTCCCTTCCATTCTCTCTGAAAAGCAGTGGAAAAAATATCCTCTGGTGAGGATTAAAAAATAAAATAAAAACTAAAATAAAATAAAATAAAATAAAATAAAATAAAATAAAATGGGAAGCTATAGGATAGTGCAAATGAATCTCATTTTCAGTAAGTTTCATTGACTCAAGATGACAGTTTCTTAAGTTCTTTAGTCAAAAAGATAGTTGTTTATATTAGCTATTTTCACTTAATTATATGCTTGTATACTTTAGAGCTGGTAATTAAAACTGATCTCAGGTAGAGAAAAACGATATTACATAAATTCCTCAACTGAAATATAGGGCCTTGTGACAACAAAGTCACCACGCAGTTTCCCTCAGAAGCAGAGGACTGAATGAAAATGGAAAGAGGATTTTGATTCTCTTGAGTCTTAGATATCGGAAAAAGCTTCAGAAGGTAGTCCACAGAAGAATGTTCTCTAGCTGTCACTGCTAAGCTTTCCCTATAAGTGGACGCACACATCTGCATTTAAAATTCTATTTCTATAACAAAAGATAACATTAACATATCAGAATACAGCAGTCTATAAACTCTCTGTCCTCTGCCTTATGCTTTAGGCTCAAACATGACAAGACTACTTTGGATCTTAGGGATGTCCCATGCAGTGTCTCGCCTCTGGGCCTTTGCTCCATGCCTGTTATATCTGCCCACACCTGTCTGCTACCAGCACCTCCTCACCTGGCTAACTCCCTCTTCCTTGACCCAGCTAAGGTGACCCCTCATTTTCTCTATCAAGAATTCATTCTTTATTCTGACCTCCTTCCACTTGTACCCTATAGCAGGTTATGTGCTTCTCCTCTCGCTCTCATGATACATGTACATATCCCTCATCCTGCAAATGTAGTCACCACTCTCTACTGGAATTACCTGTTTATCTTTATCCTAACTAGGCTCTGGGTTCCATGAGCTGTTTCCTATTCGTCTTTGAATCCCCAATGCCTGTTCTTAGATGCTGAATAAATGTATGAATGAAAAATCGAAGAATAAACAGCACCTCCAAACTCCAAATTAATATATCGCAAGGCACACACAAATAACTTAATTAAGTTTACCTATAAACTTTCCAACTCCTTCCTTATATTCTATCAAGACTTCGTGATGCTCTGCCCTGTTAGTAAAACAGAAAAATACACGGTATAATGATGAATCAATTCCACACTCTATACAACAACTGAAGCCTTCTTCTCACCCAAACATGCTACGTGACAGTAAGTGTAATCTTCAACAACAAATACACCATTATCAAGAGGCCCAACTCACCAGGCTAGGTTCATTAGCCAGAGTAAAGGCTTTCAATTTGCAAGTGGTTCTGTGAGAAGAAAAACTGGCCAAGGTCAACTGCTCCAGAATATCTGGATTTTCTTGCTTCCCTTGCCCCTTCAAAATCAGTTTATTATTAACACGATACTGCAGAGTCATTTCATCATATAGTAAATTGTTCAATTAAAGATAAAGTCAATATGCCCATTACACAAAACGATCTAACTCCATTAGCTCTGTTTCCATAAGTAGTACATGCAAGTACATATGCAGAGACAGAAATCTTTGAGGCTGGGGCATGAAGGCAGCCTTAGGCTCCAAGTTTAGCTCTCATAGAGCATTCCCTGCCCTGACACCCCTGGGAGCAGAGGCAATGATGGCAGTATGGGACCTTGGGTGCAGAGGAAAAGTGAAACAGCTTTAACATGGAGGTCTGGCCTGTGGCTTCCAGATTAGAGCCAGATGATGTATAACATTTGATATATTTCTTCTGATTTCATTCTAAAAATGTACAAATTTTATACATAAAGTAAAAAAGTCTTTTGCTTTACTGTACCTTATTAAAGTAACTAAGCTGCTGCCAAAGTTGAAACTTGAATGGTTGGATCTACTACTCACAGTGATGACAGTGTAAGCTGAGCCATGGCAGGAACCCCGTGGATACTGTGCAGTGTGTGATGGGTCAGGTGTGGGGCAGAGCCAGTCTTGGTGTACAGAAGGCAGCCTGGAATGTCCATGGTGCGGTCCCCTGTTTTGCCTAGGTTTTTTATTTTTCCTAGGCGGCAGCCATTAACTATCTTGGTAAGACTCAGCTTCATCCTGAGGGATTCCTCCAGGTCCTGATAAGAGAATTAAATTCAGAAACTGTTTCATGACATCCAAAGGCTACACATTTTGCAAAGATAGCAACCTACAAAAAAATAAATGATAGCATGTTTATTACTACTTCCAGCCTAGGATTTTTTCAGTATCAGGAATAGGGGAATGGGAAAAGTCACAGAGTCAACAAGATACTTTTCCCAAAGTCCCAGAGCACTATGACGACATCAACTACATTTAAATTCAGTGATGGAATTTTTGTCTGACCTGATGAAATCCAAACAAATGGAAGGACGGAAGTGAAGACTAATCATGGAAGGAGTGCTATGAAGCCAAGGCTTGCTCTCAGCCTTGCAAATGTGTAGGAAAAAGTCAGGCTGCTTAGGAAATACTGGTTATTAATTTGATCTATTTTTTTCTCTAATTTGAGAGAATACTAGGCAACATAGCAATTTTGTCTAATATAAAGTTAAAAGAAGAAAACAGGTCCCAAAACAGCATTCTGGTGTTTATTAAAATATATGAAAGAATATACATCAAAAGATAAAGAGATTACGTCTGAGGTGAGATTATTTTCCAATTTGTTCTTACCTGGTGTCCAGAGATGAGAAACTGTATGGAGCATACATGTAATTCATAAGCAATTTAGCCTTACTTTTATAAATGGGAAAGAAAAATATTTGATTAAAAAAATTAAGATATACTTTCTAACTTCTCTAGATACACAGGGAGAAAAAAATCAGAAAACATTATCAATTACTTTGTTGGAAGCTATTAATTAATTATTATTTAGTGAAGCAAATCCTAAACTCCACTTCTTAAAATGTACTAAACTTGGTAATCAGGCACAGCAGATAATGTACAAAATGTCACTGGATATACCAGCATTTTACAAATACCAGCACATCTACAGCAAGTACTATAACCCTCCTGAATTCTTCCCAATGCAGATAGGCCCAGTTTTATTAGTAGATAAGTTACTACAGCTATCTAGAGATTCCAACCTTAGGTCCTGTCCTCTTAAGCATTATACTGGAACACACTCTGAAGGTCAACCATTGTTTAAGATGTTACCAAACAAATAAGCATTATCTATCATTAGTTAAAAAATATTCAGGAATATGACTATTACTTTTTTGGGAGTCATAAATTCTTATATTGAAATTAAATAGCCAATCCTGTCTTTAGAATTTTAGAAATAAGAATAACCACTTTCTGCATGATCCTATAAAAGATATCATGCTGAACATGAATTATTAAAAATAATAACAAAAGTGTTTGAGGAAAGCCTGGTCAATTTTCTATAACTCAAGCTTCATTATTTCAAATTATCACAAAGACATAAAAAGAAGTATCAGTGAAACCCACAGAAACGGAGACTATTAAGGGAAAAAAGTTATGTTTTAACAAAGAGCAACATAAAAGCTATTTTTTTAAAAGCCTGGTTATTACACATTAAAACTGTTAAGAAAATGTTTATATCCAAAAAAATTATACAAAATATAAATTATCTTTATATAAATTATAAGAACATACTCTAGAATATATAAGTCATTAGTTTACACAATCATATTCCTTATTGATTTATCAGATAATGCACATAACCTTCTGATTTCAAGTGATAAAAATATATTTTAAACTAACAGAACTCTAAAGCCATTTGTAGCAAGGTTAAAAACTGCATTTTGCAATCTAAGTAAATTCCAGGGAATTGAATCGGCGGGAAGCAAAAAGATGAGAAATACGCTTTTAAAGTTAATGAATCAATGCCTGTTATTGTGAGTGAACACTGGAATTAACCAAATATAGAACAATATGTTTTGAAACATAAATAAGAACTAATGAAAATTTAAGGGACCGAGATTATTAAATACTGCAATAAGTTACCCTCACAAACATATGAGAATGGAAGAAACTATATAGTCTAGTTTTTCAGAAAGGGCTAGAGACAAGAATTTGGTGGTTCCCCCCCTTACTCTAAAAATTCTGTCTCATCTAACATATTTAAGTTTTGTAAAGAGTTTAAATGTATGCACGAGTTGTATTTTTAAAATTAAATTCATACACACTCTACAAGGTTTGTACATGCACAGAAAAAAGTCAGAAGGACTTCTAAACAATATGCTGCGCTGAGCTAACTCAGAAAGACACAGAGAAGTAACAGACTCTAAAATTCTAGAATGCAGTAACTGAAGATAAGACTATTCTGAGTAGAGTATTCTAAAATTCTTACCCTATCTGGGAGGAAAAAGATAGTGAATAACTTTAAACTTTAAGTATGTGTGTTAAAAGATTTTTAAGTAACCATTTCCAAACCCACTGGGGAGGGGCAGGAGAGGGTAAAGAAAAGTTGGCTAATACAATAAAGGGCAAGAAAAAAGAAAATTGATCAAAAAACACACCAAAAACAGAAAATACAAAACAAGATTGTAGAAGTAAGTCTGAATGTTAATGATCACAATAAAATTTAACAAATTAATTTCACCTATTTAAAGTCATAATGACAATAGTAGCAACTAGTATTTATTGGGCATTTACTATATATCAAGTACTGTTCTTTATATATTAACTCCGCTAATATATATCATCATATATACCTATAAGACAGAAGCTATTATTATATGCATTTTACAGATGAGGAAACTGAGGCTAATAAAGTCACCATTTGGGAAGTGGCAGGGCCAGGACATAAAGAAATCTGGCTTTAGAGGCTGTACTCTTATAGGCTAGTAGTCTATTAGAAGTCCCGAATCTTGTCCATAAACATATGCAATATTTACTTATTAACTCTAATGTTAAGATATAATTTTATAGTTACAGATTCCCTTTTGCTATAGTGTTCTTATTATTGTTCCTCTTTTCCCTTATCTTCCTTCTCTGCCTCTACCCATTTTCACAGCCTCTACAGACTCCATTCTCATACAAACATTTAAGCATAGTTGAATATGGGAATGGGTGTTTTTTTAATTAAAATAAAAATGGAAACATACTGTAAGCACTTCTCTGTAATTTGCTTTTCTCCCAGGAATAGACAATGGATATCTTTCCTGAAGATGAGACATAAAATATCTACTTCTTTTAAAATAACTACTTCTTGGCATTGCATAGTTTGGATGTAACACAACATTTTTAACTTTTTTTTTTTAATTGATTTATTGATTTTAGAGAAAGAAAGGAAAGGAGGGTGGGACAGAGGCAAGTCTTTGTTGTTCCACTTAATTATGCATTCACTGGCTGATTCTTGGACGTGCCCTGACCAGGTCCAACCGCAACCTTAGGTCCACGCTCTAACCCACTGAGCCAGGGCGGATGTAACACAATTGAATCAACCGTCACCCTTCTGATGGACACTGAAGACACAGGGCAGGTCCTAACATCGCTGCAAAAGTCTGAGGGCACGGCCTTCCTTATCTCATTTTCAACAATTTCAGGTTAACCTTAGTTTACGTTTCCTGGCAGAGTTCTACACATACAGTGACCTTCGATCGTTATCACCCCCCTTTTGCAGATGGGTTCGAGTTATTAAACAAGTTGCCTGAGGTCCTATAGCCACAAAGTATCTGGGTCCAAACCCTGCCCTGTGAACCCCTGTGTTCCAGAGTGCACTGTCCACGGAAACATATATGCTTAGTGAATAAGGGTGGATTTACCGTCGCCCGGTGAGCCACCTCCAGACTCGCGGAGCGCTGGGCTCAGGGACTCGGGGTCATGCCAACCCTCTCGAGTACCCTGCACGGTCCCGGAAGAAACTTCCGGCTGAGAACGTGTCGCTTAAGCAGAGGACAGTCGAAAGGAGGCCCCTCTCACTCAGAGACGCGGCGAAAGCTCACACGATTTGGGAAAATCTGGATGAAGGAAGTCACACCAGAAGACCCAGAAGAGGAAAGGGGAGACATGGCGGGAGTACAATTACCGTTAGTACAACACAACCAGGAAGCGTCTGGGCGCGACGCGGCTCATCCACCCGTAGCAGTCCCCACACCATCAGGGAGAGGGGACACTCACCTACTCACTTCCCAACTTTTCTTGGCCTGAGACCCCTCAGGCTCCCCACAGTTCACTCCCACGTGTCCGGCTGGCAGAATCCTCGGCCTCCTAAACCACCGCCTCCGCCGCAGAGCCAATCAGGGAGCATTGCGTCATCACCGAGCGCCAGTGAAAGGCAAAGGTAATCTCAAAGCGAACTCCCGCCAGAGCGAGGACCCGCGACGGCTGCCGTTGCCAAGGGTGACTGAGCTAACTCGTTCCGCCTGCGCAAAGCCTCCTGGGAGTGGTGGTTCGTCGGCGCCCCACGAGTGCTTTCCAGGCGGGCGGAGGAACTACAATTCCCAGGGAGCTCCCGTAGCGGTCTGAGCAGAAGAGCGGTTGTTTCAGCTTCGGCCAAGGTCCGGGACTGAACCTGGAGAATGCTGCTGGCGCCCCGGGAAGGGTCGTCCTCAAAGAAGAGGACGGGGCGGAATCTCTGGAAACGGTTTACAAGGAAGCCGAGCCCCAAGGTGATCCTTCCCAATCGGGAGTTATGGGGGGCGGAGACCGGCCCCGAGGCCATCAGCGTCCCCGCCGGTGCCTCCTCCCTGTTCCACCGAGAGCGTCCTTACCTGGCCCGCCCCTTCCCCTACCAACTTGGAGCCATCATTGCCCTACGAAGGGGGCCCAGGGACTCGGGGGTGTGGGTACCTGACGTCTTTGGTGGGCAGCATCCTGGAATAACTGTTTCCATCTAACGGTTTTTACACACCGGAGAGGTCTGGTAGTCGCCCGTCGGGTTGAAGAGAACTCACGAACTCTTTCGCCCCCTACTTACTACCACTCCCCCAAGTTTAGAGAGCTTCCCGCACATTTATTTTTATTTTTAATGTTTTGCAAGCCATAGGGAACTGATCTTTATTGGAAGGGGAAGATCTTCACGTTAAGTCCTCAACCTCGTAGCCCTACCCCCCTAGTTTTACCCAAAATATCTAGAATGAACTCGGAAATGCAAGTGGATATTGAATATATCAGTACTTGATTCTAAATTTCTAAATTCAACCATCGTTTAAAAAATAAGCCCTCTTTATATTTATTTCCCCCGTTGATGCGTTAGCATCCCATGGAAAACTGATGACCCCGTTTTAAGCTTGAAACATATGTAAATGACATGTGCAAAGTCAGTCACACGATGTGTGGTTTCCACAGACTACCTTTTTAACAGTCACAAAAATAAATGTTTTAAATGTAGGTGAGAGTACCAAAATGGAGCTGGCTTCTCGGCTTTCCGCTCCAGAGCAGCTTCACCAGCTGTTTTCACGCTTAAGTTACACTTTCGTAAAAATATGATCTATAGACATGTGGCCTTTCTGAGTGCTCTAGGCAATTGTGCTTACAGTTTATTCTAAATATACCAGCTAAATAACGCACTGGATATATTCCACTTGGTGAGTATCTTGTCCCAGATACTGGGGGGTGCAGACTGGGGCATTGGAGAGTTGGAAACACAGTCTGCTTCTATTGTAATATACCAGTTCCATATGGAAATAGACCTGATGATGAAAGGTAAAAATTTGGGACAATTTCTTAGGACTCCAAAGGAAGGATTTTTGCTGCTAGTGCTCATTGTTTCTGCCTAGAGGATGAAAAGGTAAAATCACAAGAGCTCTTCGAAGTTCAGTTGTGTTTTAATAGAATCAGCTCTTTCTTTGTTGCAGAAACAAAATTATTCAACAGCACAGCTGCATTAATTTGCTCTCTGTAAGGTGCTTTGAAGGTGAAGTGTTATGTAAGGGAAAGAGTATTATACCTTTTCCTCTTCCATGTTTATATATTCCCTATTTATTTAAAAACCCACTTGAATTATTAGCAAAGCAAATACCTCTATTCATTAAGTGACTATTAGAGGGAATTCTGCAAGCTTTTGAACGTTACAGAGAGTGACGAAAGGAGGTGTACTACTTATCTGATTAATATGTGACTGACCTTGGTAGAAATTTATGTGATTTCTACTTCATTTTCTGCGCTGTAAAACTGTAGAAGATTGATTATCTCTCAATGCACACACACACGCGCGCACACGCACACACACCAGTTCTTACTGGACCAAACAATATCCCTGCTCTAGGTAAGATAGGAAACCCTCTTGCTATAGGCTACTACTAAAAAAAAGGGGCCTAAGGAGAAGGGCACACCATTCTCTAAGTAGATTTGCTTCTGTGACACTTGCATAAACCTGTCTAATTAATTAGTGCTTGTTTGGGTTTTTATAAGGAGCATTATACCTAGCATTCCTCTATCTTCGCTCATAACCCAGGAGAGTTTGAAAAAATACTCATGCCTGGGCCCTACCCCAGACCAATTAAATCAGAATCTGGTGGGCTTAGGCAGGAGATAAAAACATTCAGATGATGTCCCAGAGAAGGACCCATGTTTTTCTTCCTACCATCTTCTGTGTTCTTTTGTTGCTGAAGTGTCTAATGAAATGATTTGGGGAAAGAATAGAGGACACTTTCATGTATTTTAGTCAGAAGGATAGATTAAAATGGCAAAGTTGATAATGATATTATGTGTTAATATTCTGTATATATTATCTACAGCCTGCTTTTGACCCTGACAATGTGGAACACTGGATTAAGGTAAGGATATTGCACATGAAGATAGAGAATTAAGAGTCAGACATAATTAGATGGAAAAGGAATACATATAGGTCTCCATTTTGCACATATTTTGCTGTTTTTGATCCTTTGTAACTATATATGTTTCCTTATATATAACATAGCTACTAAGTAATAAACTTTAGAAGGTATTTAGGGTTTTTTAATCACCCTGTATTGCTTTAGAACTGTTTTTGAGTTGTCTGTTGCACATGTGTTATATGAAACAAACCAAGGAAAAGTGAACTCTTTCAGAACAGAAGATTTTAGTTTTGTTTTTCCCTTAATGTTCACTATATAGCTGATAACAGAGCTACCATTCAATAAACTAACATAAGGTATAATTTTTTCAATCGAGGAAATGTTTGTTTCACTGAAATATAATTTAAGATCTTCCTCTCCTGTCTCTTACATGTTTATTTTGAAAAAAAACATGGTAAGGATATAATATTTTAAAACAAGAAAATATAGAGATTATTTCTAATCCTTAGCATCATCTAGTACTTGTCCTGCCAGTCATATGGCTATCCGAGGGAGAGCAGTCAACAGAGGGAAAGTTCAGTGCAAAGGTCCTGAGGTGGGAACATGCTTGGCATAGTTGAGAAAGAATGAACAGGGAGGTCAGTGTGGCTGAAGTCGAGGCAGAGTAGCAGAGGAAGAGGTTGGAGAATTCATTGGGTCTTGATGGTACAGGGCCTTAAAGCATATTATAAGGATTTAGACTTCTGTTTTGAGTTGAATGAAATAGGGAATCATGGAAGGGTTTGAGGGGAGTACTAACATTATGCCTTTCATTTTGAATGGGTCTCTCTGCCTGCTGTGGTGGGGGCTATTTTGAAAATCTGTCAGGAAATTGTGGTTCCTTGCACCAGGGTAATTGCCGTAGAGGTGACAAGAAGGGTGAGATCCTGGATATATTTTGAAAATAGGTTTCCTGATATATTATATGTATGTATGTTTGGAGAGAAAGAGAAAGAGCAGATTGAAAAAGGTTTTTGAGGAATGGAAAGAATGGAGTTGTCATTAGCCAAGTTACAAGACTGAGAACACAGTCTTGGCATGGAGGAAAGCAGGTTTGTGGGTAGGGAGGAAAACAGGTTTAATTGTAAAACGAGTTCTTTTATACTGTGCAGGTAAGCCAAAGGGCCAAGAGAGTTTGCCCACCTCCGCCAGTCACTCTCCCAACTCCCCAATTTCGCCACTGTTTTACTAGATTCTTACTATTGAGTTAAAATATTCTGAAGACTACAATTCAGTGACTCTGTTCATCCCAATTTTATTGCACCTATAGTTTGCCTATATGGTGGGAGGTTCCTTACAGGGTAGTAATTCGAAGAAGTATAGCTACTCTGCCTCTGGCTCACATTCATATGCAAATTTTAGTAGCATGGAAAACTAATAAAATATATTTTTTATTTTAAAAAGTATTCAAATGTCAGAGTCCCATAACCAGTGCTCTAAACAAAAGGTATCTAAAGCTTAAATAACATTTTGTTCAAATATAAACATCATGAATACCTGTTAAGACTTGGTAAAGTACTGTAATTAGTTTCATGTTTATTGAATGAAATTATTTGGGGTGGATGTTAAGCCTCACAGTTCCTTCAAAAATGGACAAATGAAAGTATTTTAGTAGCTGAATTTTTTATTTATTTATTTATTTATTTAATATATCTTTATTGATTTCAGAGGGAAGAAAGGAGAGGGAGCGAGAGATAGAAACATCAATGATGAGAGAGTCATTGATCGAGCCCACAACCCGGGCATATGCCCCGACCGGGAATCGAACCCCGATTGCCTAGATCCTAGGTCAACGCTCAACTGCTGAGCCACGCCCGGCCGGGCAGTAGCTGGATTTTTTAAAAAAGGGGCAGATTCTTCTTGAGGGTTGGAGAGAAATGTTCTAACCGTGAACAAAGTTGTTGTCATCTTAATGAATTTTTTTTTCTGTTATATTAAAGAGAGTGGAGAAAGCCTCAGAATTTGGAGTTTCGAAAGCATTTTCTGTTGGAAATTCAGATTTATCCAGAAGGCTTTGGGGTCAAATGATAGATTTGGAAACATCTGAGCAAATAGAGGATCATGATGAAATCTATGCAGAAGGTAAGAAAATACATTTTTTTTGCTGCAAGGTTAACAGTTCTTTGGAGCACAGCTTATTAAAGCATAGCCTATAATGAATTTCAGAGTACAGAAAGAAAGCTTTTCTTTCTCTTGTCCTTAATTTCTGTTTATTTTTACTGCCCAGAAGTTAATTTACTCTGGAATCAGCTCCAGTATTACAACTAAGGCTGTTTTTAAGGCCCATTTTGTCTTCTGAAATAGACCCGCAGCCAGAGGCAGTTTGGTATAACACGGTGAACTAGTGAGTGTTGGAAGGTATTAGGCCTGTGGCACCAAGGGCAGCTTGCTAATTTGATCTAGTATCATACAGAATTTGACCACTAGTTTATAAATCAACTTTGTTCCTTACAAAGAGAGTCTAAAACTGATCTAACCTCCCTACCTCCCCAAAGCATTTATTCTTCTGTAATTTAGTATGTTAGTTGCTGATGCCCTGACTCTCCACTGCTTAGGGACTGAGAGATTAGGAGGAGCCAGCAAAGAAGACTGGGAAGGAGAAGCCGGGGAGAGACGAGGAAAGTCAGTACCATGTCCTGGAAGTCAGCTTCCCTCTGGATTATTTATGTCTCCAGTTATTCCATTTACTTCTTTCATTCAACAATATATATTTAAATATTATTCAGTGCCAGTAACTATTTTAGGCACTGGAGGAATAGGTTATGAACAAGGCAGGCAAAGCCTTTGCTTTCATGGAATATACATTCTAGTGTGGGAATAGAGAAAATTCAAAAGAAATTATCAGATAGTGACAAGTCACTCGAGTTTGGACCTGAATGACAAGAAGGAGCCATCTGAGCAGTGACAGGGGATGAGCACCCCAGGCTGAGGGAAAGATGGCATCAAGGGCTAAAGTACAGACAAGCTCAAGGAACTGAAGGATGAACAGTGTGGCTGGAGCTTCCCAATGGGAATGAGCTAGCAGTGTGTGCTGAAGACATGTCACACGGGGCCTTATAGACCTGGGGAAAGAATTTAGGTCTTATTCTGAGCATGATGAGACATCATTGAAAGGTTTTAAACAGAGGTGTAATAGGACAATTTTTAAAATGTATGGAAAATGGATCCTATGGGAGAAAAAGAGGGAAAAGGGAGACCAGTGGGAGGGAATCGCAGTGGTCTGGGTAGCAGTAATGGTGCTTGGTCTTGGGTGGTTGGTAGTACTGGAGACAGAGAAAGGAGATTGATTCAGAAAGTGGCAAGGTGGGTCTTTCCCATCCTGCTTTCCATTTCACCAGTAGGAATACATAGTATACTTTAGCCTGTTAAGGTTTCTGAGAAGCCCTGTGCTTTAAAAAAAAAAAAAGAAACTCTTTTTATCTAGAAATACTGATTACTATCCTGAGAAACTGGTGACGCCGTGAGGCAGCGCTGGTGTGTGGATATAGCGTGGCTTTGAAGGTTTTACCCTTGTCTGTCTGCTCATCAACCATCGATGATACTCCACAAGAACTGGTGTTCTGAGGAGCACCCTTTGAGAAATTCTGCTTTCAAGTAGCCTTCGGTGCGCCTCTTTGATCCAACATGAGCTCCTACAGTTGAACACTCCAAGGGAAGTTCCCATTTGTTCTTTTGGAACACTTCTTACTACAGCAGTCCCCCCTTACTCATGGTTTCACTTTCCGCGGTTCCAGTTACCTGGGGTGAACTGCAGTCCGAAAGTATTAAGTGGAAAATTCCAAAAATAAATCTTAAATTTTAAGTTGCACATCATTTTGAGCAGCATGATGAAATCTCTCGCCTCCTGCTTTGTCAGCGTCAGCCCTTTGTCCAGCTTCCCCGTATTCGCTGCACATCCTGCTACCCTCCCATGAGCCACTTAGTAGCTGTCTCGGTTGTCAGATAGGCTGTCATAGCATCACAGTGCTTGTATTCAAGTAACCTTTATTTTACTTTATAATGGCCCCAAAGTGCAAGAGTATGTGATGCTGACAATTCAGATATGCAAAAGAAGCCGTAAATGCTTCCTTTAAGTGAAAAGGTAAGTGTAGAACACTAAGATATTTTGAGAGAGAACCACATTCACATAACTTACCACAGTATCTTGTTATAACTTTTCTGTCTTATCATTAGTTATTGTTAATCTTTTACTATGCCTAATTTTTTTTTTTTTTTAATATCTTTATTGATTTCAGAGAAAGGAAGGGAGAGGGAGAGAGAGAGATAGAAACATCAATGATGAGAGAGTCGTTGATCGGCTGCAGCCCACAACCCGGGCATGTGCCCTGACCGGGAATCGAACCCTGATCACCTGGATCCTAGGTCGACGCTCAACTGCCGTTGAGCCACGCCCGGCCAGGCACTATGCCTAATTTTAAAATTAAACTTTATTATAAGTATGTATGTATAGGAAAAAACAGTACACATAGGATTTGGTACTATACACTGTTTCAGGCATCCACGGGGGGTCTTGGAATGTTTTTCCCATTATAAGGGGGTGGGAGACTACTGTAAACCCTTATTTGCCAATGAATGGTGTTTAGTAGATCTGAATTATTCTGTACATAAGTTATTGTACACATAAATATCTGAATTATCGTACACAGGTTACTTAATAAATATCTTCTCCCTTTCCCTGCCTTCCCCTGAAAACCGATAATGTTTGTTGCTAGTATACTTTTTTACACTTAGTTTCTACTACCCTGATTCATTTTTTTCCTGTTTTAAATATACATTCCTGTCTATATTAAGTACCTTTTAGCATCATTTAGTATATAGAAACACTCCATTCCCTCAGAGTTTTGCGATAATAATGATAATACTGACACAGACATTTTTCTTCTTTGAAACTCGCATACCTACCCATAAGAACTGTTTGATAATGGTGATAATAATGATGAAGATAGCCCAGCCAGCATGGCTCAGTGGTTGAGCGCTGACCTATGAACCAGGAGGTCACCATTTGATTCCCAGTAAGGGCACATGCCTGGGTTGCGGGCTCAATCTCCAGTAGGGGGATGTACAGGAGGCAGCTGATCAATGGCCCTCATCATTGATGTTTCTCTCTTTCTCTCCTCTTTCTCTCCCTGAAATCAATAAAAACATATTTTTAAAAAATAATGATGAAGATAATGCTAATGTAGACATTTTCTCACCTATATGTTTAAGAAGATTTTCTGGATATCACTAAGAATGAAATCCAGATGGAGTTGGCTCCCAGGATATCACACTCAGGTTTTTTCCCTGTCTCAATGACCACTCCTTCCTAGTTTGCTTCCTGGCCTTGCCTTGTCTTCAGCCTCTAAATACTGGAGTTCCTCAGGCTTAGTCCTTGAACCAGTCTCTATCCACTTTCCTCTTTTTGCCACCTCTTCCACTCTACAGCTTTAAGTACCATCTGGGTGCTAACAACATCCACACTTACTTCTTCAGCTTGGACCCCTCCCCTGGAATACAAAGTGGTATAGCCAGTGCCTATCTGACATCCCTATTTGGATGTCTCATAAGCATCTCAAAACTGAACTAAAATCTAAACCTGAACTCCTGATCTTCCCCCCAAACCTGCTGTTCACTTGGCCTTCCCTGGTTCAGCGAGTGATATCTCCATCCTTGCAATTACTTAGGCCAAAACTCTGTAGATTTCTTTCTGTTGCATCCCATATCCAGTCCAACAGCAAATCATGTCAACTTTATCTCAAAACATTATTGTTTAGCCCGGCCAGCATGGCTCAGCAGTTGAGCATCGACCTGTGATCCAGGAGATCATAGTTCAATTTCCGGTCAGGGCACATGCCCAGGTTATGGGCTCTGTCCCCAGTGGGGGGCATGCAAGAGGCATTCAATCAATGACTCATCACTGATGTTACGCCTTTCCTCTCTCTGAAATCACTAAAGATACATATATTTTTTAAAACCATTATTTTTTAAAATATGACCATTTTTAATACCTCCACTCCAGGTCCAGGCCACCATCACCCCTCTCCTAGGTCATTGCATCTGTGTCCCAGTTGGTGTGCCCTGCTTCCTTGTGTGTCCCCCTATAGTCTTTTAACATAGTAGTCAGAGTGATCTCTTTGCTCACAACCCTCCTGTGGCTTCCCATTGCATTCAGAGTAAAAGCCAAAGTACCTAGAATAGTGTCAAGACTCTAAAGAAGGGGTTTGCAACCTCAGCACTATGGACATTTTGGGCCAGATAATTTTTGTTGTGGGTGCTGTCATGTGCACTGTAGGATGTTTAGCAGCATCCCTCGACTCTACCTGCTAAATGCCAGTGTCATCTCCCCCAATAGTGACAACCAAAAATGGCTTCAGACATTGCCAGATGTCCACTGGAGCACAATTTCATCCTGATCTTGAACCACTGCCTAAACCTGATCCCCACATTTACCTCTACCACCCCATCTCCTGCTGTTTCCCCCAACCCCCTTCACTTCTCTCCAGCCACACTGTCTCCTTACTATTTCTGCAACACACCAGATACTCGCCTGCCTTAGGGCTTTTGCACTTGATTTCCCTCTGCATGGAATAATATTCTCTTACACAGCCACAAGGCTCACTCCCTCACTTCCTTCTCTTCTTTGCTCAAATATCTTCTCAGTGAGGTCTCCTTTGACTATCCAATTTAAAACTATCAACACCTCTCTTCATTTTTCGTACACCATTTCTCTTTCCCTGCTCTGTTTTTCTGACTTACTTGTTTATGATCTCTCTTCCCCATTTAGAATGGCAGTTTCATGGTGGTAGGTTTTATTTTTCCTGTTTTGCACATGATCAGTGCTCATTTAATATTTATTGAATGAATGAAAACAGTGAATGAAGAAAGGTCTCTAAAGTAATTGGGTGTTTTTGTTTTATTGATAGCTCAGGAGCTGGTCAGTGACTGGTTAGACACCAAACTCAAGCAAGAACTAGCAAGTGATGGGGAAGCTGAAGACACGGTGTCAAGTATCCCTCCTGCCTTAGAAGCCAATGGTCATTTGAAGTATGAAAAGTTTGATGGTAAGAACTGATCTGATTGGTCTAAGCTTTAACATCCAATGAATGTGTGTAAAAAGTCTTTCCAGTTGTTTTGAATAATAAATATGTTTTTTGACTTTCCTGTGTTTTGCTTAGTTTTATAATTGGCTTTAATTTTTCTTGATTCAGTTTAAATTATTTATGTATATCCTCAGTAAATTCATGATGTTTTCTAAATTAAAATATTCTATTACTTATAATTCTTATGATTATAGTAGTAAATAATGCTGTTTAGGAGTGCCTCTTCCTATATATTGTTGGATGTCTGTTTACTTTGGAGACTGCATTTAAACACTCGTATATCATTTTATATTTACAAAATGCTTCATATACCTTTATAAGGAAAATGATTACTTGTACACAGAGCTAGTGTCAGACAAGTTAAATAGCTAACTTGTGATGATTCAGAGATTTTTCCCCCTGAGCATAATGGTGGGCATAGTGACAGTGGCGGCAGCTCCTCATGCGTTACTCAGACACCCTTGGTGAACTCACTTGGCAGCATTCCCCTTCTTAGGACTCTCCAAAATCCCCAGCGCAGGAATCACAAAGTTGTGAGCTCTTAAAGTTAGAGGAATCCTTCAAGATTACCTGCTCTGATCTATTCTCTTTACCCCCTCAGATGGAGATCCTTCTCCAGTATACCTAACATGGGGTGTATAATCTCTGCCTGAACACCTCCCAGGATAGAGAGCCTGCACTCTGGAGAAGCCCATTCCGCTGTTGTGAGGCTGTAATCTTCATAGCATGCTCTCTTAGTTAGGAGAATTAGAATTTTGTCCTCAGTAACTTTACCCTTTAGTGCCACAGAAAATAATATTGTGTTTTCTCTTTCACTGATGTTTCTCTCTCTCCCTTTCTCTCTTTCTCCCTTCCTCTCTCTCTCAAATCAATAGACATATCCTCGGGTGAAGATTAAAAAAAAAAAAGACAGAGATTCAGAGATTGGCAGAGTGAATTAAAAATATGACCTAACTATATGCTGTCTTTAAGAGACACAGTTTAGTTTCAAAGATATGAATAGGTTGCCCTGGCCAGCGTTGCTCAGTGGTTAGAGTGTCGGCCTGCACACCAGAGAGTCTCGGGTTCTATTCCCAGTCAAGGGCACATACCTGGGTTGCAGGTTTGATCCCTGACCTCAGTCAGGGAGCATGCGGGACAGAACTAACCTATGTGTCTTTCTCGAATCGATGTTTCTCTCTCTCTCTTCTCTCTCCCCCTTCTCCCTCCCTTCTACTCTCTCTAAAAAAATCAATGGAAAAAAAGTCCTCACTCCTTGGGTGAGGATTAAAAATATATATGTTAATAGATTGAAAGTAAAAAGATATACTATGTAAACAGTAACCAAAAGAAAGTAAGAACAACTTAATAATGTCAGAAAAAAAGAGACTAAGATAAAAAATACCATCGAGACAAAGGCATTTTATAATAATCAAAGAGTCAATCCATCAAGAAAACATAAGTACAAACATATGTATACTTAACAAAAGAACCCCAAAATATGTGAAGCAAAAGCTTAAAAAATTGAAGGGAGAAAGAGGTAATTCACCAATAACAACTGGAGACTTCAATACCCCATTTTTAATAATGTATGGGACTACATGGTGTACTAAACAGAACATTAACAAGGAAGATGTTCAATATTGTGAGTCATTAGGAAAATGCAAGTTAAAACTACCATGAATTACCACTTACACACCTGTTAAAATGGTTTAAATTAAAAGATTGACCATACTAAGTATTGATAAGGATGTGAAGGAACTGGAACATTTCTACACTGCTAGTGAGAATGTAAAATCATACGGCCACTTTGGAAAATGGTTTGGCAGTTTTGTAAAAAGTTTCTATTCCCAAGAGAAGAGAAAGTGTATGTTCATACAAAGACTTGTGCACAAATGTTCATAACACTTTATTTGTAATAGCCCAAATCTGGAAATAGCCCAAATATTTATCTACACATGAGTGAATGAATGAATGAATGAACTGTGGTATACCCATACAGTGGAATACTACTTGACAGTAAAAAAGAGATAAACTATTGATGCACCAACATGGATGAATCTCAAAATAATTATGCTGAATAAAAGAAGCCTGACCCAAAAAAAGAGTACATAACATATGATTTAGTTGATACAACATTCTAGAAAATGTAACCTAATCTATAGTGACAGAAAGCAGGTCTGTGGTTGCTTGGGATAGGTCAGAGAACATGGGGAAGAGTGGAAGGAAGAGATTACAAATGAAAATGAGGACCTTTTGGGGAGCTGACAGGTTCATTATCTTGACTGTAGTGATGGTTTATGTATGTGTCAAAACTTATTGAAAAGTTTAAATACTTATTTGTTAATTATAACCACAATTAAGTCATTTTTAAAAAGCAATAGAGTCCTCAAGGATGTTTAGATTAAAGTAATGTCTTTTAAATTTGACAGTGAGGAAATCACTTGAGTAAGGGCAAGTCTTCATGAGTAGAGTTTTTCTCCCTCTTAGTTGTAGTTAATTGCTGAGGACTATACTCACTCAGTTGGCATTATCAGTTACTATTTATTGAATACTCACAGTATTGTGTTTTTCGAAAATATCTTTTTATTGATTTTAGAGGGAGAGGAAGGGAGAGGGGGGAGAGAGAGAGAGAGAGAGAGAGAGAAACATTGATGAGAAAGCAAAACATCAATCAACTGCATCCTGCACCCCCTCTACTGTAAATCAAGCCCTCAACCCAGGCAGGTGCCCTGACCAGGAATCAAACTGGCTACGTTCTGGTGCATGGGATGACGCTTAACCAACTGAACCACATTGGCCAGGGCCACAGTATTGTATTATTATTGTACCAGGATTATTTAAATAAATATGAAAATTGTATTAAAATTTTTAAATTAAAAAATATTTTTTTGTCATTGTTCTGTTTTTCCCAGATTTATGTGGCTATTTGGAGGAAGAAGAGGAAAGTACCACTGTTCAAAAATTTATAGACCATCTGCTCCATAAAGATGTGGTGGATTCTGGGATGTTGGAAGATCTTGAAATGAATGGAAAGAAGCAGCAGAAGGATCCTCGCCTTACCATGGAGATAAGACATAAGCAGGTGGGAGGGAAAAACAAAATTAAAATGGATAACAGGAAGCAATCTTTGTATAATATATTTAATAAGCTTAAATAAAGACTGAAGCTTTATTATGAAAAAGGGTGCCATCTGTGGTTTGGTTAGAAAGAATAAAAATAAAATATAAGAACTTCAGAAGAAAAATAATGCTTATAAACTGAGGATAGGAAACTATTTAAGAAAACCTCAAAAAAGGAATAAATGAATTTGACCAACAGAGTGTTGGACTAAACTTTATTAGTTTGGATGTAGTACTTCCTATTATAAATACGTAGATTGGGTTTTGGTTGAATTTGGTTTTTCAATTGAGACATCAATATATTAATATCATGAATATTCTGTTGAATGTTATAGTGATAATTCTTTTCTAGACAACTGAAAAATTCACTCATTTTGTGATTACAATTTGAAAGGGAGGACAGATCTGAATTAAATCTAGTTCAGCTGTTTTGAATTAGAAAGGCATATGGAAACTTTTTTTTCTCCCAAGTGAATAGTAGGTTACAGGAAAAAAATGCATCTCAACACTTTGTAGAGGAGCTTCAGGAAATCAGAATGCCCAGGCCTTTGTGCCACAAGTCCAAAACTACGACTGAACTAGAACTAATGTCTATATATGTGTGCTATCTTTTTATAACTGATTTCTTTTTTTTCTTTTTTTTTTTAACATATCTTTATGGATTTCAGAGAGAGGAAAAGGGGGAGAGAGATAGAAACATCAATGATTGAGGGAGTCATAGCCCGCAACCCGGGCATGTGCCCTGACTGGGAATTGAACCCCAATCTCCTGGATCCTAGGTCAATGCTCAACCACTGAGCCACGCCTGGCCAGGCAATAACATTTCTGATAACATGTGCCTATCAGTACTGGGATGTTAGAAAAACTGGGTAGAAGTATGTCATGGTTTAGATTTATGATAAAAAGGAGGAAAGAAGTTCAATAAGAGACAGCCATTATCTAGAAGTCATAACTGGGGTAAGCTAGGGGCAGAGTTAAGTGAAGAAGGAAGGAAAGGACCACTCCTTAATTCATAGCTAGTCAAGCCTCTAAAGAATTAATAAATTTTAAGAAAGTATTGTGCTTATTCAGAAATACCTGTGAAGTTCGTGGTTTTGATTTCCAAATATGATCCAGAATCATCAATATGTTTAAATCATGATAGAAATGAATAAAGGGTTGTGGTGTTCCTAAACAGTACAGATGATCCTTGACTTATGATGGGGTTACATCTCAATAAACCCATCTTAAGTTGAAAATATCATGAGTCAATGCATTTAATACATCTGAGTTATCACCTAGCCTACCTTAAACATGCTCAGGACACTTACAGTAGCCTACAGGTGAGCAAAATCATCTCACTGCCACTTTCTAGCATCACAATAAAGTGTCATACCACATATCAGTAGCCCAGAAAAAGGTCAAAATTCAGAATTTGAAGTGTGGTTTCTACTGAACACGTATTGTTTTTGCACCATTCTAAAGTTGAAAAATTGCAAATAGAACCATTATAAGTTGGGGACCATCTGTAAGTCACTGTTCTATCCTTCACAATGTAGCCTCCCCAAAATATTCGTTTTAAAATTATAATTAGTATGCAGACATGGCCTAAATAAATAGCAGTAATGTATATTTTGGGAAATCTTATGGGTGGGAAATCATTACTAAATAAGAATCCAGAACTTGGCAGCTGACCCATTAGATTTTGGTGCAGATTATTCCCTATTTGTTTGAGAGTCGTCTTACCCAACTTCATTTAAAATTTCATATTGGCCCTTACCCAGTAAACAAATGAATTCCCTCCATTTTTCTGATAAACGATGGGGTTCTGGAGCAGAATGGGTATATTCTGAACTTCAAAATGTATTCTATGGTTTTGCAAATCCCTTACTACTTGAAAGACTGCATTTGTCCTCGTATTTTCCTTTAAGGTAAAAGAAAATCGTTTAAGACGGGAGAAAGAACTGGAGCGCCAGAGAATTGAAAAGACCCTGAAAAAGTCAGCCTTCTTAGAAGCTCAGTGTCTGGTGCAAGAAGAGAAGAGAAGGAAGGCTCTAGAGGCCAAGAAAGAGGAGGAGGAGATTCAGAGGGAGATGGTGAAGCTGCGGAGGGAGATAATTGAGCGCAGGCGCACTGTGGAAGAGGCATGGAAAATGTAAGCCAGCTGTGATGGGCAGTATAGAGGGTTTTTTTGTTTAAGCAGTCATTTTGGAAGTACTCTAAAGTTTTTTTTAAATGCACAAACATTAAAATTACAAAACACAACAGAGAAATGACCCACTATTCCACCATCTTAACAAGTTAACTATTTTCACTTTTCCATGAATATTCCTGGTGTTGGTCCCATTACATATTTAATTGCAACTATAAAGTACATTTAATGTGTTACTCTTTTTTGTTCCACTTATTTATGCATTCATTGGTTGATTGTTGTATGTGCCCTGACTGGGGGTTGAACCCACAACCTTGGCATATCGGGACAACACTCTAACCAACTGAGCTTCCCAGCCAGGGCCTTAATTTGTTATTCTGGTTGTTGTAATTATCACATTAACTAGAGTCCATTGAGTTCTTATACCATAATTTATGTAATGATCTCCTCTCCTTAGACTGATAAGCATTACAGCTATTTCAGGTTTTTTCACCAATAGTACACTGAGCATCCTTAAGCATAGAACTTTTTTATTCTTTTGAATTACATTCTTAGGAGTGTAATTACTGAGTTAAATGGTACAGGCCTTTTTATGACTCTTGAAACATTGCCAAATTGTTTTCCAAATGGGTTGGACTTATTTATACTATTACTGGCAGTGGGCCAGTTACACGCTTTTCTCACATTGAGGAGTAGCATCATTTTCAATATATTTTGCACTTTGTGTAGGTTTTATATTGGTTAGTTTGCATCTCTTAGGTTACCTGAACATTTTTAAGGTTTAACACGTTTCCCTGTGCATGTTCTCTAATTATGCCAAGTCCGTTGTGAATTGCATCAGTGTTTCATCTTCTGATGGTCATATGGAGAGTCACCATTGCCCTGCTGCCACTGATAAAGAAAAAGAATATCTGACATAAGAGGAAAATCAAAACAGTTCTCATAGGATGTAGTGCTGTTATGTATCCTCATGAAAAAAATGAGTTTCATAAGTGAAATAACTGATGTATTTATTCAGAGAAACAGCATTGATGCATGCACTGCAAAAGCCTTGGAACACCGTGCCTGAAGTGACTGAACACTCAAACTGAGAGGCCAGCAAGACCTATTAGATAATCCCTTCCACCCGCATCAGCCCACACAGCCTTCCCCCTGTGTTCTTGATTGCTCTCATTCTACCCAATTTGAAACAGCTCGGCAGTGGACTTGTGCTTTGCTTTCAAGTGCCAGCCTCAGCCTCCTCCAGAAGCCATTCCTTTTAGAGAGCAATCACCAGTGTTTCAGGGAGTTCTTGCTGAGGTCAACCTTGCTTTTCAGTTTGCTCTTAAGCCCTGAAAAATCTAGGCTGACCTAAAATAAATTGTGAAGCGAGTAACATTTGATGGTAGCAGGAAGCTCTGCTTCAGTGGGCACTCAGCAGATGCTCACTGACCAGTCACTTCTTTTAAAAGTTAAAATCCTATCCCTGGTTCCAGTGAGACAGATATTGTGATATACTTATAGGTGGATGAACTGATTTAAACATTCCAGAAACCAATTTGGCAATAAACAAGAGCCATAAAAATGTTACTATCATGACCTGGGAATTTCCAGTTCTAGGAAAACTGCCTTAAGAAAATGATCAGATATCCAGACAAAGATTTATGCACAAAGATAATTAAAGTAATATTATTTATGATAACAGACATTAATATAGTGGAGAAATTATTAAACAATGGTTCCACAGTAAAACAGCACTGACATGTTATCAAGTGGTTTTTTTCTAGGTGGAACTATAGATGGCTTTTATGCCTCTCCAGTTTTTCACAATGAGCAGATAATACTTACACAACAGATACTTATTTTAAAAATCAGATCCATGGCATTAGAACTGTATTTCTTTAAATGCCCACTGTGACTTGCCTATAACCATCTGATATAATGTCGTAGTGACACTGTTAAGTTTGGAAAAATTCAGTAAAATTGTATTGTTGGTAGGGCTTTTAAACTTATTTGTAAGCTATACTAAATCTGCTTCATTGCACAGTTTCAAAGCATCTTCTCCTAGGAGATGTATTAATTACTAAAGGAAAAATAGCAACTTTGTACTGGAGGAGCCACTGTAACCAATAAGATAGTAATAAGGTATAACATTGTGTGCCCCCTTGTATGAGACAAGAGCCATAAAAATGAAAGAATTAATGAGAAAATGTCTGCAGACTATTCAGACATCCTGGCCTCAGTCTGAGTTTCCACAAACGTAAAGTGAAGCTGAGAAAGACTAGCTGACTTGCCTGAGTTTTCACAGCTGGTTTGTGGCCAAAGCCCATGAATCCTGATTTGACTCGGTGTTATGTTTACTACATCATTACTAGAATATATACACTATACACATACCTGTGTAGTTTAATATACTCCAATAAGAAAGCAGTGGCTATGAGCTTGCGTGAATGTAAGAGGGGCGATCTGGGCAAGAAAGAATAGATAAGTGGGGGAGAAAGGGGATGACCAGAAAGATGAACAACAAAGTTCCTAACAGACTCTTGTTACTTGCCTGAGGGCCTTTTCCTTATTGTATTAAGTTCTATATTTTCTCTTTTTAGCTCTTCAGAATTAATATAAATTCCATTTTTCCTTACTCAGTAACACCTGATTCTTTCATTATCTTTCTCCCTAGAAACCTTGTAAAAGCCTTATTGTAAAAATCTCATTCCTTTCTTACCCGAGGGTCCTTTTTTGTGCCTCCCTTATAAGAAGAGAGAGAATGTCTATGTTAGAGAATGCCTAGTAGTTAAGTCTCAAATTTTGATCAAAGTATCACTCAATATTAAACTCGATAAAAATGCTAAAATGTCTATAGAGCTTTCTACTTTTCAGAGTACTTATAACGACTTTATTTTATCTATGTTTTATTTTTAAAAGGAATAAACTAAGACAAAAGAAAAAATCACTCTATTATGTGGCTTTAAAGCCAGATCTAAAAAATCTTTGTCTTCTGATGGAAAATTCAGTATTCATTGCACTATGGTCTGTTGTGATTACTCAACATTAAGTCTATTCATGTATGTATTTTTAAATTGTTATAAATAGAGAGAAGAGAAAGCAAGAAGAAAGTTCTCCAAAACATCCAGAGAAAGGCATGTTTCACAGTGTTCATATTCTCCGGGAGGAAGAAAAAGTGGAGAAAGAAAGAAAAAAGAAACTGAAAGAGTTATTAATCCAAACATACAAGGAAAATCACCAGGTGGGGACTGTAATGTTTCTTTATTCAGCATTCTGTAGCATAAATGATGAAGGACTTCATGAGAGATGGGACAAAGTAACACTAAGCCCAACTGAGCAACTTTTTTTAAAAGCTAGACATACTTGATGGTGGCATTTTGGACTGATGGTCAAGAAGTCATAATTATTCAGATATAAAACAGCAAGAGTTTGGTCAGAGTTTTGGCTTTAGGAACAAAGAGGGAAGTGTAGGATGAAATGTTAAGAATTGAGATTAACATTTTGAGAAAGATTAGCAAAGACTCTTAGATGCTGCGTCCTTCATGAGACTGACGGAGTTGGTGTGTCTTTCTGCAGTAAGAGTCTAGATTTCTGAGAGAAAGTAGGAAGAGAATGAACTCAGGAGCCACCTTAAGAAGGCATAAGGAAAAAGGGCCATGCTATATTACCCAGCCAGTGAGAGATGAATAAAACATGTGTTCCCGAGAAGATTAACTTTTAAATGTTATTGAAGTCCACTGTACAGGAAGAAATCATGTATGTTTTAGATAGAAGTGCTGGGTATGAATTTTAGACACAGAAGAGTTTTACAAATGTAGTACCCTACTAAAACAAATTACCCAATTTAAACAGACCAGCCAGTGTATATAAAAATGAGAGATTATGAATTAATTATCTCTATTTTGTCACAGATTCTGCTTGATTTGAACCTATACTTTGTTTTTAAGTTTTTATTTTGAAATTATTTTAGACATACAGAATAGTTTCAAAAATAGTACACAGAGTTCCTGAATACTATTTCCCCAGCTTCCCCCAGTATTAATATCTTACATAAATATAGTATAATTATCAAAACCAGGACATTAACATTCGTACAATACCATTAAATACCATTAACTAAACTGTAGCTTTTATTAGACTGTCACCAGTTTTTCCACTAAGGTCCTTTTTCTGTTCCAGGACTCAATCCATAATTTTGTGTTGCATTTAACTATTATGTCTCCTTAGTCTCTTCCCAGTTCCTGTCTTTCCTTGTCTTTCATGATCTTGACAGTTTTGAAGAGTACTAGTCAGGCATTTAGCAGAATGTTTCTCAATTTGAGTTTTCTGATGTTTTCTTCTGCTTAGATTGAGATTATGCATTTTTGGTAAGAATACCACAAGAAGCGACATTGTACTCTTTTCAGTACATCTTATCAGGGGTAGATAACGTTAATATGTCTTATTACTGTTGATGTTAACCTTGATCACTTAAGATTGTGTCTGATGGGTTTCCCCACTGTAAAGTTACTATTTTCCCTTTGTAACTCATAAATGTCTTAGAGGAAATATTGTGAAACTATGCAACTAGCATGCTTATCCTTAAACTTTCACCTATTAATTTTAACATTCATTGGTGGATCTTGCCTGTAACAATTATATAATGTGGTATTTGTCTAAAGATAATTTTGTATTTCCCTCATTTCTTCTCCATTTGTTAATTGAAATTCTCCTAGAAGGAAAAACTGTCCCTTCTCCCCAGGTATTTATGTATTCATTTATTCAATTATTTATTTGCATCACTTTAGGCTCATGGATATTTATTTTATTCTGTGGGTTACACTCTAATATTTTTGTTGTTTACTTTGTTACTCAGATTGTTCTAACTTTGGCATTAGAAAATATTTCAGGTGGACTCTCTTGCCCTTTCAAAATGCTTCCGTACTTTTTTGGGCACTTCCTTTCTTTCTGTTGCCACAAGATGTTTCAGGCTCATCTTGTATTTTCCCTCCCCTAACCCTGGAATCAACCACTTCTACATGGAATCCTGGGTTGTTGTTTTTTGGAGAATAATATTTAGAAGCTAAGATCTTGGGACTAGGTGTGTTCATTGCTTCTGGACTGGCATTGTTTCTGGGCCCTCTCAGCAGACAGAGTTGGAAAATATATGTATGTATACTAACCCACACATGCACACACATTACATTTACTTCTGTGTCTGCCTGTCACTATGCATATTAAAATCTGTGAGTTCACACTAATACCTCTGATTCCAATGCAGCAACACAGGGGTCATGCTATCCCTCCCCCTTCCTTATTTGTAACTTATTTCTGTATCTATATATTAAAATGGTAATCAGTTCGTAATGATAACTTCAACCCTAACCCAGCACCACAAGTTTCAGTAGCCTTTCCTTCTTGCTTGTCTAGAACTTCTTTCTCTGACAGTGAGAAACCTGAAGCTTATTATCCAAAATATATTTACGTACTTGTTTAATCTTAATATATTATAAAGCAGTTTCAGAATTCCTAATGCCGCGGTCCAGCCGCAGCGGGAGTCTGGGGTGCTGAAGGTGGGCAAGGCGTCGGCGCTGGGAGACAGCAGACTACACGACTCGGAGGTGGTGTGACACTGTTCCACTTTATTGAGAATCAACATAATCTTTCATACTTACTTTTTTGGCTACGATTACATTTTTTCGGTTAGCAAGCAAGAAATATTATTCACAGGTTAAACAATACAAGTTTCGATTTCATCAGAATGGAACAATTTTGACTTTTATTTTTTAGAATAGAGGAGAAAGGAAAAATCAGTGACCTATAGAGTGATAGATGTGGCTTTGTTTGCAGCAGTAATATATTAGTTTGTGAGACAGAAATTTTATATAATATTTGCCTGTGGTTACTACTTCTTATGGTTATATTTTAACTATGGACCTATTCATAAGCTATTATATTCTTCTTGCCATTTTCTTCTAAGAAAAGAATGCCTTTTGCCATAGCTATTGATTAACTGCTTAAGAATGCTTTGCTTTTGTTTCTTTGGGAGCAAGCACCAGCGTGGCCGCTGCCTTGCCAAGCGTTTCATGAAGGGCAGGTTCATACTGAACATGCCTTCCATTTACATTAACTATTCTGATACTGTTCTCATTGTAAGCACCTGTATAAAGCTGAGGAGGGTCTGGTAGCCTTTTCATACTGTTAGCCCCTTTTAGGGGGATGCCATAATCTGCCATTTATTCTATGTGCTACCCAGGGTGGTCCTTGTGCAGTAGGCAAGGGGCGATGGCCTTTTTCCTGTCCTCAGCTAATCCTGCAATCACAGGCGGGGCACTTGAGGCTAGGCGGCTGCGTGAGCTCAGCTTTCTCTAGTTCCTCCATAAATTCCTTATTGGGGGCACCAGGGGGAATTTTCCTAGCTTCTTCTAATAACAATTTGTTAAAGCATCCGGCACATATGATAGTGACTGGACTTGGGGAAATCAGGATTTCTTCAGAAGTGAGAACATTGTTTACCATTCCCAGGTTAGTTATTGATTTTACAACCCAAAATCCCCCTCCAAGGAGGAGAAGGGATATTCCCATTAAGCCAATTACTCCCACCCACATGCCACGTCCTCTCCCCAGAAGACGCCTTCCTTGAAGCTTCCTCTCCACGTCCGGATTTTGTCAGACGACATGGTTGGGAGAGGATGCGGCATCCTAACCCTTACAGTTATGGAAACAGATTTACTGACAATTAGAGTAAATATTATATTAGAGTATAATATTTATATAGTTATTTTTGTTTTTAGGCTTATTAGCCAAGATATTGTTTTCCAAAGTTACTTAGGTTAGTTCTTGTCTCCTTCCCCTTCGTTGTGATTATTGTTAGGGAACCTCTAATTTAGATTTCCCCAGTGTGTATGGGCGGACATGAGACATGGGAAAAATCTCCCTGCTATACTTGTCAGGCTTTTACATCGACTTGGCTGGACACAGGATGGTCCTGTGGTAAATGCCACCCGATAGCAGGCCCTCTGGGCTCATTCTCTTAGTCTCAGTCCACATTCCTACCCTGGTTCTAAAGGAGCCCGAAGCTGCCCTTGGGTAATGAAACTTGGATACTCAGCAGCCTAAATATGGCCACAAGCTAAAAGGGCGGAAGATGCCTAGCGGCCTTGCAGCAAGCGGCTAAGTAACGGGAAGCTCCTGTCAGCACCCTCAGAATGGGTCACTGGCACAGACCCAGAAGCTGGCTCTACAGAGTGTTCGCAGGAAGACTTTAAAGAATCTGTTTCTAAGAGTTGCTTTAGTTCGCGTTCCTTTAATTCCTGTACTTTTTGTGCTTTGACTCTGGATTGTATTTGCTCCCCAAACAACCTCTTCACATCACATTTGGAGCACATTATTTAATAGAAGACTTTCTGAGAGAAACAGAGCAGGCTCTCATTAAAACACAAGTTCAGGTGCCGCACTATTCACACATCTTTCCCACATACTTCATTTCTAGGTCTCTCTGTTTTATCAAAAAATCTATTTTTTATAGAAATTTTCTACTTCTAGCCTAGCCTGTTTTTTCTTTGATGTTGCAGTGAAATCTCTTGGGGAGACTCGGCAATCCACATGGTATTGCTAATTAGCAGAACCAACAAGGGATTAACTGCGAGGTTCTTACACCATTTGGAAACAGCCTTAGATTTGCGCCACACTCTGAAATACACTCACGTTTTCTTCATTAGCTAAGAAGGCCTATGCTTTTTCCTGCCTGTGAAAGTTGGCAAGAACACTAACCCAAATCTTTATTCTATGAGGCAACTAAATTTGCTTATTTGGTTGGGTTTTTCCGTTAGAGAGTAAGTAATGACGACCCAAAGGAGTCATTGTTAATGTTACATTTGTGGCATTGTACCTTCCAAAAGGCCACCCCAAACTAAACCAAGAGAACATGAATATATATGGAAAAGAAGCCTGGATTTTCTTATCGACAAGGTGGTGGAAACTGTAGTTAAGTACCTCATTTATATAGCATTACTCCTTCCCAAAGATCTTAGTTTTATTAGGACTGCCCACACACTACTGAAGCAAAACCATTTCTAAACTGAAACATAGCAACCATCCTCTCAGCAGCATTGTCTGTTTGGGAAAAGAAATGAAGGAAAAGCCTCTTTGCAAATAAAACTGTGGGAAAGAGAAATGTCAGGCACACATGAAGAATATTGGGATTCCTGTAACTCTGTCCTCTAAGTTTATTGCCGAGGACCACCCGTGGTGTCCATGTTA